TGGTGTTTTAGTTTTATATATATAAGCCAATATAAACGAAGGACATATGTCAGTTGACCATCAATAAATCTCCATTCGTATTATACTTTCGATAGTGTAGAATATTATATAAATTACCAAAATATGTAGAGCAAATGTGAGTGTCATAAGAAAGTATAATTTCTTATGCTAAAAATACAAAACTATTTCATTCCAAATACTATTTCTCACTATACTGAATCGAGTAAAATTGTATAGCACACTTTACGTAGTATTAAAGTTAATAAATTATCTTAAAAAATACGTAGTTTGTCTTTATCTGGATTAAATTTCTATGGCTATTTAAATGTATCATAGGTTAAGCTATGGTTTTCCTATTATAATTATATCACAATATGTAACAATATAACAGTTTTAAATAGATTTCTATTTAAAACCTAAATACATTAATTAATAAATCGAATTAATTAAATAGATTGCAGATGAGGATGTGAATAAATTAAATTATTTTCGATTTATATTATTCACATCCTCATCTGCAATTTCAAATGATCATCTTATTAAATTTTTCTAAAAACCAAAATATACTTTTTCATTCTTTATACATAATATAAAACTAAGAAAGGTAATTACGAATAAGTTTTTTCTTGAAAAACTAGAAAAAAAAATTACAAAACTGCTTGAAAACAGCAAAACCAGTTGAATAAATCATCATCTTTCCGCCGCAAAGCGACTCTAGCGCCAGCTATCGGCTACCTGATACATTAACTCTAGTTTTATTTATTTACATCAACGCAACACACGGGCAATCTGCCGAGGGTGTATACATCTCTGGAGGACTTTCGAAGGGAAACGTGTCCCTATTTAGGTGTTACAAACGTGAAGAAACCCGAAAAACTCCACGTGGCCAGGCGCGAACCCGCGACCAGCTGTCAGCGGTTTTATCCACTCGGGCTCTCGGCCACAGGAGCCTCTTCTATCTTTCCACCTCCTCGATCTTTAACCATCCCGTAAAGATCCCGTAATACCCAAATCTCCTTGCAAAATTTCTTAACCTTTTCTGTTTCACGTACCTCTTTTCCAAGTAATGAAGATCACGGACCCCTTCTCGGAATGAAGTTTTCAAATGCAGTTGGTCGCGTGGTTGTATTTCACCAACGAGCTGGCCACATGGAATTTTCTGGGTTTTTTTTCACGGTAATAACACTTAAATTGGGTCCAATTTCGCGTAGATAGTCCTCCCGGGAGACATCTCCTCGACAGATCGCGTTGCCATAACCAAATAAACCAATCCTCATCTCCCTTTTTATTTCTCTACTTATTTGAAGACCATCTTTCAAAGATCCTACACAAAAAAAATCTCCATTCTCTTTCTTTTTATTAGAAAATCAAAAAATCACCGAGAACGCCAAAACTAATTGCATGTAATAGAATAATGTGATTCACGAATATCCACTTTTATACATTTCTTAAACTTGTACATTTTGAATGTTACATTTTATGATATAGTTTCATTATTTAAAATAACTCGTAGAAATAAATTGAGAGTTGAAATTTTTGTCCTCCCTAAACCGGTAAAAATACATTTCTCTCGGTTTATGAGATTGAAAAATTCTTTAGAAAAGAAGTAAAATGAAATTAATATATACAGTACGAAGAAAGTTCATTTTTTTCAACAATTGATTATTTATTGTTAGCGCTCTTCGACAATACTTTTTGCTCTCGATTGTTATAGAAGTACTGTATACATTGTTGATTTTCTGCGTTAAGTTGCTAATTGATGGACTTCTTTCTAAGTCCTGACACCCGCGACGTATTCATTGCAATAGATCTTCATTGAAATCAAATCTAAAATATTTAGATATTACCTCATACAATGAGGAAATCGAGGCCGAAATGTGGATTTTAGACATCGAGTTGGACCAAAATAAAAACTCTATCCGAACCACTTTACAATCCACGAGAGAAGACAGCTCTATTTATCCTTTCTCCGAAAGCCCGCATAGGGCGAAGACAGAAAACACCAAAGGATAAAGAAGACAATCAAAGAAGCATTTATAAAATACTGAAAAATTCTAAGTACCAAATTTTACTTTCTAACCGTTTGGACTTTGAGCTTATTATTAATTCATCTCGATTATATTATAAGAATACAAATTATAAAAATACATTGTCATATTTACAACTGCCTTTTAAATTCACAATTATCATAGTGATGTCTTACAAGCTTAATAATTTCAAGATCATCACTTTCTTAGCCTTAGAAACACTAAATACAATTTACCAAATATGACTATTTTTATAATTAAAATATTATAAATGTAAAGTGATGGATATTTACTCACAATAAACACTTCATTTGAACCAGCTGAAACACCAGACTAATATTACGCACTACCACACTCGAGTTCTGTGGCTAATTTGTATATTCATACACTTCAAGCGTCATCTATTATTACGTCATTTTTTATTATTCATTATTACGTTAATTATTAATCTAATTTTAATTAAATTAATTGCATCTAATTTTATTACTAAATTGTCATTAATTCTTTTTTTTTTTCTGATTTAACTTTTAAAATTTTTGAGGCCACAATTATCTATACATATTATTTCAATTCAAAAATTCCCCCCCCCCCCTTNTATTATTACGTCATTTTTTATTATTCATTATTACGTTAATTATTAATCTAATTTTAATTAAATTAATTGCATCTAATTTTATTCCTAAATTGTCATTAATTCTTTTTTTTTCTGATTTAACTTTTAAAATTTTTGAGGCCACAATTATCTATACACATTATTTCAAGTCAAAAATCCCCCCCCCGAACGGAGTTAATTAGATGACCGGGGGGGGGGCGAGTTTATTGCTAACAGGAAAAGTATGATATACGAGGGAAAGACAATTAGTACTAAAATCGAGAGCATTGTGACTATATCATAATAAATAATTGCTGGCTGTTTGTTTTCTTCCATTATTTTTAAGAAATGGGAAGGATATTACGAGTGATGTAAATAAATAAAGATGCAGTTTTAATTTAAAATCGTTTTTTAAGGCCGTTGTTAATACGCGCGTTTAACGGAAAAGAATATTTAAGATAATTAGTTTAATTAATTAAGTAATGTATTTTATACGAATTGCAGGAAAACTGCTTTGGAATTTGTCGAATTAACGATTTGGGGCCGAAAAATCGATCCCCGAAAATAGGCAACTCTGATTCCTGTATGTGACTTTTTACTTGGCTCGGAGTCACAGCCGCGATAAGGATAGATAATGTCATTCTATAATATCAAAAACAGCCATCACAAAATAATATCGTTTCTTGTATATATTCATATGCTACTCTAAAATCTCACCTCTCCATATTGAAATTATTAGTCGCTACACGAGAAATCTGTGCCGCCTTCCATGGTATGTGCTGAAAACACTTTATATAGGTAGAGAAGAAAACTTTTTTTGAATAATTGTAAATCCCAATCAATCAGATACTGTAAGAGAAAAATGCCCCTTCCTCTTCGAACGATATTTTAAGGAACTAACCAATCATCCTTCATCCCGAACTCCGCCACACATTTGACTCCTTTCCTACTCGCGTCCTTCAGGCCCTTTTATCAAAAACAAAATTTTTTCCCTGTATCTGATTGTGATTTAAATCACGTGGCAAGGTAATAAAATGTATAAACTATCTTCATATCAGACTCTACCCAAAAAGCTCTATAATTTTGACAGGGAAAAAACATTTACGGGTTGAAAAAACTGCCTTATGAGGTCCACAGTGAAAGGGAGAGTTATGACAATTGGACAAAGTTGAACAGGGGGAGGGTTTGAACTTCAAATTTTTAGTTTATTACTATATGAATAATATAATGCATAAAGGTTTTGCGGGAAATTTGAATTTTGCTGGACGTCCAAAGAGGGGAGGGGGTTAGAATTTCGTGTGAAAATCTCTTTTCTATTGAAAACGTTCTACGCCCAGGGAATAATCCCTCAACCCGACTATGTTGTCGATAATATTCCACGATTGACGAGGAAAATATTTTTGATAGAAGAGTTGATTTCTACAATTATTATTTAATATAAATGAAGTTACTAAATCATTTTATTTCCCCCCAATAATTTCTTTACGAATTGAGTACACCCTGCCACTGGTAATGCACTAGATTTGATGTTCAAGGATGTCTGAGGTTGTGCTAATTTGCATACTTTCTTTCAGGACACGTCGTTTTAAAATTTATAAAACATTAAAAATGAAAGTTAAATGATTTTGATATGAATAGAGTCGCAATGAAATAATATATGAGTCATTTTAGATTCATTTTTCTGCTGTAAACATTAGGTGATATACACATATATCACCTAATGTTTAAGCGGTTATATATATAAATTTTTTCAATATTCTGAATATGTATAAAAGTAAAATGTTTAAAATTGATAATTATTAATTATAAATGTTCATGAATAAAAAATACATTCGACAATTCCTTTAAATGATTTTTTAATATTAAAAATTTAACCAAATAATAAAGAGTCATTTATTTATCACAATAAATTATAATATATACTTTTTTTTTTATTTATCAACTAATTAAAGCAGAATTTTAAATGCTTTTGAAAATTAATATTTTAAAATAATAACTGATTTTTAAACCATACCTTCAGTGTAAAGAGTATAGGTAAACTTCTTTATAAAATGCAACACTCAAATTATGAAACAACTTCTGTACATTTGGTTATCATTTTTCATTTGTTTTTTTTTTATAAATACAACTTTTTTTAACAAGTTCAAAAAGTATTAATTAGGAACCAAGATTCTATTATGAAATAAAGGATAAGAATAATATAAAAGGTAAGAAAAGTTACATTCTATTTAACTATGTTTCTCTATCGGAACATATAAATTACAATCAAAATTTTTCCATTTGTCACAGAATGATGTAAAAAAATACTTGTTTGAAAGATTTTCGCATAGATGGCTTCACCTGTTGGATTTATTTACTTATTTCTTTTTATTTTTTAATTATTTAAAAATTTTCTCCTCCGCAATCCTCATCAGAATGTAGCACATCGTCGTCTTCAATCTAGAATGCAAAAAAAGAAAAAACTTTTTTAAAAAAGAAACTAAAGAAATTGAATATAAAACAGTAAATTTAATTACCTCTTGCCCTAAGGCTTTTAATCGTTGCTGATAATTAGAAATTTTAGTATCTTGTTCTGTAAGTAGGACTAGAAGATCTTCTTGTTCTGAAGTTAACTTTGACTTTTCTGTTTGAACATCTTTTAACTCTTTCTACAAAATATTTTCCAATAATGTATCTAATGAAGTTAAACAAGAAAATTAAAAATATTAAAATTTATAATTACTTCAATTTCAGAGTTCTTAGATTGAGCCTCTTTTAATTCTTTTTCTAGATGATCTACATTCTGTTTGAGACTTTCAATTTCTTTATTTAATTGTTCAATCATTTTTTGGCTTTCTGAATTTTCATTTTGTTGTGCTTCAGATGTATTTTCTATATCTTTTGATTCATTCTAAAACAATTATAGATAATTTAATAATACATAAATATATTAAGTAAGTATTTATGAAATTATGAAATCAAACATACCATTCTACATATTACTTCATTTTTTTCTTTTAATTCTTCTTGTATCTTTTCATACTTCTGACGTAATTCCTCTAGCTCCTGTTTTACTTGATTTAATTCTAAATTTGGACTGTTTGCTCTTTCACCACTATTATTTGCTGCAGCTATTAAAATCATATTACATTAAATTTCAAAAATTTATTCAATTTCCTTTCTTAAATTAAAAACTTACTTCTTTGGGCTTTCAAAAGTGCATTCTGATCACGCAATTGTTGAATAGAAGAAGACATTTCTTGTAATTGTGCTGTACACATTTTATGTTCAGTCATTATTTCTTCAAGTTGTTGTTTCGTATCATGCAACTTTTGATCCTAAAAAAACTTAAATTTAAGTGTCAACAATAATCTAATTATGGCTATTAAAATTTTAAATGTTAATACCTTACTTGATCACGGATCACATCTTTGTATTGCTGAAGAAGTTTTTGTTGTTCAGGTGTCATTGTTGATTCTGGGCCATTTGTCAGATCTTTTGGTTTTGGCTGTACTGCTTTGATTATCAATCCTTAAAAAATAAATAAATATATCTAACTATACAAATTAGAATAATATAATTTACTTATATATAAATGTATAGAAATTATAATCTGTTATTCATAAATAGAAATTAATGAAAAATATTCATTTTAATTAGGTGTATACATATTTATTCTTTTCTAGTCTTGAGTTTTAGCACATTTTATGAATAGGATTTTAAATAATTTATCATGTAGCTTTTTAAATGACTACAGTCAAGATAAAATTTTTAAATCAATATCAATTAGAAATATTAATAATAATTTGCATAATTTTTTCTTACCTTCTAAAGATTTAAACAGTCGACAAAATTCATAATCAAACAGTACATCATTTGGTGCCTTATATTTCAGATATGGATTTTGAGCTGCTCGACTATAACTTTCATGTTTAGAAACAATACTTAATTTGTCTAAGAATGTATCTAATCCTACCCGCTTCACTATAAGTTGACAAAGATCATCTCTGTAAAGATATAAATTTTGAATTAATTTTCTTAAATATTTAATACATACTAAAAATGAATAGTTTCAAATATTTATTATATAATTATAAATATAATACTGAAAACAAATAATATTTAGTTAAAAAACGTAATAATAATTACTATAATTAAAAAGAAACTGTGCATGAAAGAAAAACTTAAATAAAAAACAGTCACTTTGTCTGATTAACTCAGGTATCTGTTAAATAGTATGATATAAGAACAGTAATCAAAAACAAAAACAACCAACAAATTGCCTAATTATAAGGCTATTTTTATGTAAAAATAATTTAGAACTAGAAGCATTTACCACCATATTGTATTAAATTTAATAATTGAAATTAATCATGAATTAATTTAGAGAAATTTAGAAGAAAAAGTCTGGAATGTAGTAGTACTTAAAATTGCAAATAATGCAGGTGACATTATAATATCTACACTTCTCAAGCAAGATGTTTGCAAGTTTTCCCAACACAACTAATTTGATACATTCATTTCTGTTATTCTTTACTTCTTTAAAATTTTCTTAATTACTCTTTTCTATTATGGAAAAAGAAATACCACTTTCAATATGTTAATATTTGATGTAAAGTATCAATTATCATCTAAAACAGAAACCACAAAAACTTCATTTCACATATTCGTGGACACAAACAATTGAGTCAAAAATAAGCACGATATTTGTTTAGCTGATAGTCATAGGAAGAATTTAAAACTACTGTATAATCTGCATAACAGAAGTTTTGAAGAATAGAAGTCCACTAAACCCAGGTAAATAGGGGTACAAATAATATCAATAATTTGAATATTTGAAGAATTAAACAGGAAATAAAAAATTAAATCTACTGTACAATCTTATGCTCAGAATTCTAAAAACTGTGTTAAAAGCCCATCAAAATTATCTTTTTGCAATTAAATAATTACTAATTACAGAAGTATACAAAATTCTTAATATATTATTATACATATATAAGATTTTGTAGAATATAAACAATTTAAAAAGAAAAAAACAGACACATTGAATATAAGAAAAATACAATATAAAAAGAAGTGATCATATTTACCACAAAAATTAGAAAATTTCAATACAGTGGGTGATCGGATAACGAACACTTTAGCGAAAGATTTTTATGTTCGAACAACGAACACATGATCGGATAACGAACACCTCACAGAACAAACACAAGAAGAAGCGATGTAAAATAATGAATACCGATTGGTCTTCCCATGTCTTCGGGAAACAATTCGAAACTTTTTGGAGTGTGGGAAACGTCGACATCAACGCTCAAGCCGGTATACACCGATCGGATAGTATTTCTCCGAACTTTGAAATTCTCCCTTGTAATTCCAGCCTTTTATTTTTCTGACAAAATAATTCTTTTATGTATTCGCGAGACTGTCGGGTAGGCACAAGTTAAGTTTTGCGTCTGTTTTTCTTTTCGAAAGGTGAGAGTATAATACCAAAGGTGGAGAGTGGGCAGAAGATGCCTAATGTTGCTGGGCAGTATGGCGTGAACAGTTTTACAGTAGGCAGCAGTTCAATCTTATTTAAGAAAAATACTGTATAATCCAGAAGACTCAAGCAGCTAAAGGAGTAACAAAAATCAAATCTGAGAAATAAAGAACATCGAAGATTTCATAATGGAACCCGAAACGGATCCGACGATAGAAGAACGCTAAGAACTCTTGAATGAAGAACACCAAGAATCTCGGCGAGGTATGTTTTCTTCTGAAAAAGAGGATTAATGCCGATATCTGTTATTAAAGATCGTTTGAAGAAGTGAGAGGATGTCAGAACAACGGTCTTAGAATGGCATCTAAACCAGGTTGAGGCTTGGGGATTTCTACAATTGCAATGCTATTAATTACGAAAAATCCTGAAGAAGAGGGAAAAGCAATCGACATTAGACAGATTCTTTAACCATTTCAAACGGAAAAAAAAATGACTAATAAAAATGCAAGACTGTGTGTGTATGTATTTTTATTATTACATATAAATAAACGTAGTAAGAAAGTATATATTTTTTATTTTGGGGAGTCTCCAGAACGAATTAATTAAATTCCCATAGAAACCTATGGTAAATCGATAATCGGTTAACGAACAATTCGGATAGCGAACAAAGTCTTGGAACGGATTATGTTCTTTAACCGATCACCCACTGTATTTGTAAATAGGCAATTAAAAATTATATTTCTGTATTGTATTCACCTGGTGAAACTCGGTTGTGAATCGTCATTATATTCAATGCAAATTCCTAGTACAAAGGCACATATTCCTTGTACTAACAACTCTAGTTCATCACCTTCTGCTAAAGCCACTTGTGATGTCAACTTTACAAACATGTTAAGGTAAAAGTAGAAAATGCTTACTTGATATTTTAATTTCAATAAAAGATAACATTTTGTTTATATAATTATATACTTACTAATAAATCTAACAAAGATTTAAAATTAAAAAAATGATTTATATTGAAGCATCATTATAAGCTATTTAATTTCCATTTTTTCAAATCATCCATAAATGTTGAATTTATATAAATAAAAATGTAATGTTCGTTTGTTCAAAATCTTAAATCTTCAAAAGTTCTTCACCGATTGCTTTCAAATTTTGACATAATGTTGCATTTGAATACGTGTGTTCTTATATTATATAGAAGTCAAAATTCCCCCATGAGGGGGAGAGGAACAAGATTAAGGCTTACTGTGAAGAACTCGGCTTCTATTATACTATTTTAGATGCGGTTTTTTGCATTTTTGATTGCATTTTAATAGGGTACATCAAGAGAATGCACACTAAGAAGGAATTTTTTGAAATTCCCTCCTGCGAGGAGTGTTATATATTTATAATAGATACATTTTGAGCCACAACAATGCGTGGCCGGGTCTGCTAGTAATTTTATAAAATAAGAAAATAAATACTTTTTTTGTAAAGAAACAAACCAGAACAAAAGAAACCTTCAACTTGCATGCGATTTCATTTAGAATACTGAAGAAGAAGCTTCAGTTGTAATTGTATCATTATTTTATATTAATATTTGCATCAACTATCAGTTTTAAACAACTTAATTAATAAATTCAAAATTAATTCTCAACAAATAAATGATTTGTAATTATTTTATGTATTAATACAATTAAAAAAAATACACAAACTAATTTTGGAAACTTGCTTATTAAATAAATTTTTAAAAAATATTTATAAACAAAATTTCTGAAGTTAATATAAAAATTATTAAATTTAAAGGATACAAATGGAATGTTTGTTGGCATGCTTAAAAAATGTGTTACAGAAAGAGTGCTGTGAGCCAGCCAAGTACTAGTTAACATTAATAAACCAATCCTTGTTTGAACTTTGCCACCCTGTTAAAAAAACACACAATTGATTGTAATTCATTAAATATGGCATCAGACTTTAAATGCATTTAAATAAAACTTTTAAATTTTGAATCATCATATAATACTAAAATCTTAATGTTTAGAAGAACACAATAAATGTTACCTGCTGTAATATAGTAGCACATTGTTTCATTAAAGAAACTGGTGGATTTCCAACACTTGTGGCCAACTGCACTCTCAACAATTGTTCTTTCTGAGTTGGATTATCAACTAAAGCATGAGAAAGTGCCACTGATGCAAACCAATTAGAAAGAGAATCAATGCTGAATAATCCTCCACACAGGAGTTGTCCAGCTGTTATTGTTGTCACTGCAATAATTTTAAAAATACAATACATATACATTTTTGAATCTGGATCAACAAAAAAAAAAATTTTTAAGTAATAATTATTTACTGTCTGCTGTCGTGGGTAGAAGTGTTTGGATTATTTGTGCCTGACCCAATTCATTTTTAAATAGAAAACACTGAAAACAATATAACACCGCACAACGAAGTCCAAATGGTTGTTTTTCATTAACCATAGACATCAATAGTACTACAATTGCAGGTCTGTAAAACAGTAAAATTAACAATTACATTCAATAAAATAACTATATTAATTTTTAATAGTATTTACCTAGGAGGATTTGTAGGTGCAGTAACTGATGCAAAATATTCTTGGTTATTATGATTCCCACGAATAACTTCAGCAACGCTGTTAATATTCTGAAATAGTTTTTTCAATGTAAATATAATTTATGCATTAAAATTAGTCCAAAAGTTTTGTTTATTAATTCTAAATTTGATGATTTGAAATTTCAATGTTTAAAATAATAAAATTAAAAAGCTATTTGTTAAATTTCTTCAACACTATATAACTTTAATTAATGTGTCATTTGAAAAAAAAAACCAATAATTTAGAAATGCAATAATTTTTATATTATTATTACTATACTTTTCCAAATTCAAAGTTGTCAAGGTAGTCTGACTAGACAGAATTTTTTAAAAATTTTTTGAAAAACCATTATTCTATATAAATTCTCCGGACAGCATCTATAATAATGTAGAATTACCAAAAATCAAAGTATCTTCAGCTTAGAAATGTTTAGGATAACAAATACAACACTAAAGATTCTTCTATTATACAATTTCTTGTAGTTTGTGATAACTTTCCGTATTTCTGATTTAATAAATGCTAGATAAAGTCAATGGTAGCATCTACATTAGATATTTGGTACCATTACATGTCATACATACATATTCTCTAAGGACCTTTGGAATTTGTCAAGAAATAACAATGTTTCATGTGATAAGAATGCACATCTGTATATGTAATTTTATACTTAAAATCTTATATATAATAAATAAAATGAACAACAAAACAATTGTTTTTTATGAAAACTAAATTTTGCTATAATCATTTTCATCCATTTGTTTAAAAACAATTCTGTACTACAGTTTCTTCTAATTTATGAAAAAGTGTATTCTAAAAAAAATGTTACACATTATTTTCTACACATTTTATTTATTAGAATTTTGATAAGATCTTCAATATATAATGCAAACTATTATGAAAAAATTTATACTAATAAAATGAATTCAATTTGAACATTATAATTATTACCTCTGTTAATATATCAGCAGATACTCCACTAGCCATCAAAATATTACAAAGTTGTTGCAATAAACCTAAAAACAAAAACAAATATATATTTTTTTAAATTAATATTTTTGTATTTAAATGAGGGCACTGACAATTGACACTATTTACAGAATATAGCATACTTATTATTATTAAAACAGGTTAAAAGCCAGCTAATATATGGTAGAGTCAAAAATAAACCAAACTTTTAATATAATTTATTACATCTACAGTAGTGCAATACTAGTAGTCTTCAATATTAACTTCAATCAAACCACCATTTTACAAGACTAAACTACACTGACGGACCCAAGACAACAGAAGCCATTGGTAAAGCAGCATTCCTCGACGACCCAAATAAGAGGGTATTCTGGCAAGCCGCCTATAGGCTTGACTCCTCTTGTTCTATCAACCAGATCGAATCATTAGCCATTCTCTACACCCTCAGGCATATCCATAATAATATCATCAGGTTTCACAGCAAGAACATCAACATTATAAGTGACAGTCGCACAGCCCTCTATCTAGTCTGTAAACAGAATCATAGTCTCACTATTATCAAGGACAGTTTAAAGATTCTCTACTCCATCCAAAGCACTGTCAACATTAACTTTCAATGGATAAAGGGTCACACAGGAAGCAGCAGCAATGACAGAGCAGACTACCTGGCCAAAAAAGTCTTTTCACAAACCACAACAGTTATGCTGCAACTCCAATGTCATGGGTCCATTCTTATGTCCTGCTGGCAGAAGGAGTAGGACTGCAGTACAACAAGCTGTCTCACCCACAACTTTCTGCTGAGCATCTCACGCAGGATGAACAACTCTCACTTTATCACAAACCACACACTGACTCAAATCCTTACAGCACATGGTGGCTTCAGGACCTACCTCTACAGGTTCCTGAATAAAGGGAATGGCTTGTGCCACTGCAACTTAAATGAGGATGAAGATCCCATTCATGTCATCTTTATCTGCCCAGATCACCCCTGTCACCGTGCCAAACTCTGGAATACCATTGAAGAACGCAGACACCATTGGGCCCTGCAAGCTAAACACTCTCATTGAGGACAAAAACATCTTTCAAAACTTCAAAGACTTTGTGAGCAACCCAAAGTTATCTGAGTACTCCGCCACCAGCCAGCACAATACATAACCTCTGGTTTGTATCCTATCTTGGCAGGGATTCCCCTCTCCAACAAATGGGATCCTTGTTCCCTCCCCATAGTGGGGGTCACCTCCTCTCATTGTATCTCATTGTTTAGGTGGCCGCTACAGTCCACTTCATCAATAGTAACTTATGCGCCACTTTTATGAATTTGTAATCTCACATCTCTCTGTGCATGTATTCAGTTGTAACATGCTTCAAATAATAAGCAATTCTGATCAAGTACTCATGAACACCAACCTCTCTCACTTCCCCTCCTTCTCTTCCTCAACTTTCCCCACCCCATCTCCACTTATCATTTATCACCCATTCCTTTTGGGCTATTCCATTGAGTTCAGCCTATCTCTTACCTTAGCAGTAGTAGTAGTAGTAGTAGTAGTAGTACAAGATTTACAGAAAATCACTCTCAAAATAAACATCTTCAGTTATACTTCTACAAGTGTTGAAGAGAAGGACCACTCAGGGAAATAAATGCATTACTTCTTTCAGTGCAATTACTACTGCATTTTTCATCTCTTCTGTTGATTTGAATCTGCAATCTTTCAGCAGAGCTTTCACTTAGAAGTTGGACAGACAAGGACTGATGGGTGACTAAAGGAGACTGTGGGAGTACAAGTATCTGGTGTTTTGCCAGATATTCTTTAACTAGAAGAGTGCAATGTGCTAAGACATTGCAGCGATGGTGAACACAGCATTTTGTTTGCCAGAGATGAAATCATTACACCTTATTGAATCTTACATGTAATCAAGAATATCAATGCGAAATTCCTTATTATAGGGTATGTCATTCGAAACAAACTTGTAATTAGGGTTTCTCCAATGGGATCTCAGCTGTTTTTTAACCAGGGAAATTCTTCTCATCTTGGGAAATCCTGCAAATTTCTCAAAAATTCACTTTTTCTTATTTTGTGTTAAAGTGTTAAAGTTGAGGAAATTTTGCAAATAGAAAGTATAATTAACCCATAAACTGTCAGAATATATTTGTATTTTTTATTAATTTTAAGCCTGCTTATTAGTTTTTTGAATTTTTACTTGTTATGGCATGTCACACATTATGCCATAACAATTTACTTGTTATGGCATGTCAATAATTCATACTTAGCCTATTTGTGACAGGACTCTGAAAATTCTTTACTTCTCAGAACCTGTAATATCTGGAATAATTGTGCTTATGCTGTCTTAATTCTTAACCATACCCAGTAGCTTCAATAACTGCATTATTCCAGATTGTGCAAATTGGGCAAGGATACAAACAAGTACAAAGAATGCAAGTATGAAATTTTTCTTCATAAACCTGATTATTAAAGACAAACTGCTGAATTATTGGGATATAAGTTTGATGTCGCTATTAAAGCAGCAAGGTAGACAAATCAAGAATACTAGAGAGCAAAAGAAGTACTACAATCTCAAAAACAAACTAGAAATCTTCAAGGCTAAGAGTGAGAAAACATAACAACTGTCTTCTCTTAAATGCATTAAAGATGATTCCACTAACATCAATTAAATTGGAAAGTGCATTCTCGGTGGCAGGACTTTTCATTACTAAAATAATAACCAGATTGAGTGATCAGAGTATTGACCATCTTTGGTTTTCAAAATCTTATAAAAATTTACAATAATATTTTGTATTATGTTTTATTTAAAAAACAAAAATTACCCTCTAAGTTTGATATAAGTTCATATTTTTGTTTAAATTTTCAACTCAATTCAAAGGCATTTTTGCTGTAAGCAGTTTCCTACAAACTTTAATAAATTTTTTTCTATTTGAGAAAATTTCTATGTAATTCAAAAGAAATTTTTTATATATATTTTACACAGCATTATTATTATTATTATTATTTTGGAGGTTGCAGGACATATTAAGTTACTTAAAAAAATTGAAAAATATAATTATATCATTCGATTTTAAGATCTATTTTATATCTTAAAAAATAATTAATTATATCCCGGAATCCCAGGAAACAATTCACTTTTTTCCTGGAATCCCTGGATGCAAAAAACTGGGAAATGAGAAACCCTACTTATAATGCTCTATATATAAAAAAAAAACAGGTTTTATCATAGTAATTACTATTTAGCATTTATTTATGGATCTTCAACTGTATTGATCAGTTCTCCACTAATGAATGAATAACCTTCATGCTGCATTTCCAAACTTTTCACTATACAGTGATAAATAACATCGTCTTTTTATAGTATAGGCCTATCTACTAAGTTGTTGAAGAGAATATAGATTTTAAGAATGTCTTTTTACTAAATTATACATAACATATTCTATTACACTGTAATAAAAAAATTTAAAAAATTATAGTTATTACAATGATTTCTTTTTATTTTACTCCTAGGAGTCTCAAATAATGAGCGAGCATTAAAAATGGGGAAGGTTTCCAAAAGTTCATTGCAAAATTTATTCTGTTGTCAAATATAAATTTCTATTGTAATTATGGATTTATGTTTTCAATACGATCATATATATTAAATTTTAAAGTTCTTTGCTTACAACAAAGTAATCTATATTTACAAAAATTGAAAAAGTTAGTGAATATATGCAATTTACAGAATCTCATTAATTTTTCATAGTACATGTAACCCTCATATAATGCAGTAGTTAGGTTCCACAAAAAATGTTGCATTATAAAAATTGCATTAAGTGAGACTCACATTAAATGTAAAAAGTGGGATTACATTCCAAAATGATCTTTAAATATCAACTCTATCTATATTATAAGTTTTATTTAATTCAGAAGATTTCATTTAAAACATAAATTACAAAACAAAAACTTACTAAAATTTGTAAAATGTGATTTTGATTACTTAAAACTGATATACAGTTATGACTTGTCCACACTTATTATCTAATTAAATGCTATTTTCAAGAATACAAATGAAAAAGAAAATTATAAGCAACATGCACCTTACAAACAAAATGCCAAAGGGAATTTCCAGTGTCTGAAATTATACATACTTGCTTGCACATTTTACATTTTTCTAACAAGATTGCCATGAAAAATAATAATCTTTCATTACTGCAGAGAAAACTATTCACATTTAGGGAGAAATTGCACAATCTACATTGGCAAACTATATTGTAGTAACTGAAAAAACATTTACCAAAATAAGATAAACAGATGATTTCATCTTATATTCAAATCACATTGTATAAGTACCACATTATACAAGGATTACCTGTAATAAAAAAACTAAAAATTAGCTCCATCCAGTATAAATAAAACAATTAATTCATGCCAAAAATTTAGCTACACATCATTATTCAAACAATAGTTTCCAATCAAAGACTTGCATGTTATCTGCTGCAAAACCTGCTACAAGGTCACACAATGTTGCAAAGCTTCCTACAAAAATAAAATTAAAATATTTCATAAAACTTAGACAAGCTGTTGGGCAGCTAACTCTGGTGTATTGGACAAAATATATTGTCTTGATTTTGCTCAATAAGTTTTATTACAAAAAAGAAGCTAAGTTATAATTTGTCAGTCATAATATAGGTGTCTGATGCATTTATTTATTCCTCTCAAACAAACTCCAAATAAAATTTTATAATCAACTAGGTTTGATTTAATGCAATTTGAAAAAATTACTAAGAAAATAATCAATAATTCATTTATGCCAATCAATTCCCAGATATCTGTAAATACAAATTTTAGAAAATTGTTTCTAACTGAAGCAATTTTGAAAAGAAAAAATATAATTAAATGCAACTAATGTTCATGATCAATCAAGTAATTAAAAAGTAATAAAAATCCCATATTCTTGTAAAAGTTATAACAGTATAATTATTGAATCTGACTATTAGATAAACAAAAGTACTTTCCAGGGTTGCAGAATATATCTGATCCAACAAACAAGGTTTGAGGGAAATTAAAACAGTTCCAAGAAAATTTGCAGTAGAAAACATATTACAACTATAGCTATAAAAACATTACAATAAAATGGAGTAGAGTGTTGACTAAGCCTATAGACAATAATTGGGGAAATTCACTTAAATACAAGAAAGTCCTTGTTTTAAAATGAAATTGGTTGCTGTTTTTTATTTTAATTTTGAACAGTTCAATCACTCATTACATCACTGTCTATTTACACAGTTGTGAACTTGCAGTAAGAACAAGTTGGTTTCACTTAACAAACTATGGTTTTGATTTTTACAAAAACTGAAAGAGCTTTAAAAAGACCAAAAAAGAAAATCTGTTTTTATTTCATAAATATCTGATTTTATTTTAACAAGTGGAATTTTGTGTTGACTCAAATTAAAATACTCTCATTTCCCACATGAAAAATTTGCAAATTTATAAATTGTGTTTAAAACTTTTTCTGAATTGTCTCGAATAGCCAAATAGAAGTTTTATCATTATTTTATAAATACAAAAGATCATAACATTTCTTCTAGTAATAAAAAAGTTTAGTTTTATTTATTTGTATCATATTTGAGAATAAAATTGAAAACTAATACATACCACATTGATTCATAGTCTTTTGGCAAGAAAGTAATTGTTGAACTGGATTATTAGGAGAAACTAATGTTCGAACTATCTAAAAATAAAAACAAATAAGAAGTAGAAGTTACAAGTATGTTTTAAAAGTCTTTGTTTTGCAGATTATACTAGTATTTTAATTCTAAAACTAAGTATTAGGTTTGAAATAAAAAATCGTTTATTAAAAAGATCTTAAATACTTGTAACATAAGATGAATATTTGTGACTTTCTGTGATGTCCATCCTTTATCTTCTTCTGTAGTTTCAGTATGAAGATCAAAAAATGAAGTAAGGCGCTGAATATAACTACCTTCTTTAAAAAAGTTCTGATTGGATGTATTATTTTTTAATAAATTCAACATAACTAGAATGCAATCTTCAACTACCACACCTATTAACAAAATTTAAAGATTTTAATAAAATAAAAACTTAATTTCTTATGCATATCATTTATTATTATACATTATGACATAAATTTGATAAATTTTAAGTATGTATCATTTAGTTACTGAGAAATCATATATCTTCTACCATTTCTGTGTAATCAAAACAATTTTCTTTTTATAATTTGAGAAATTGCATGTTATTTTAACAAAGAACAAAATTTGTTTTTCAATTCAATTAAATATAAACAATCAATAAACAGAACATTTCATTCAATATTAGAATTATTTATAAGCATTTTATTAAAAATTAAAAAAACATTTTAAAATGCAGAATGAGAAAATGTGCCCTGTGATGCATACTGGTACAAAAAAATAAACAACTTCTAGAACATATGTTTATTTTTTAATAAATAATCTGTTTTAATACAGATTATTTTATTTATTAAAACATAATAGAGCAACATAAGACAAAAATATAAGACAGAATCCTTTATTATTATTATTATTATTATCATCAGCATCATCACACTATTCTGAATATAGTACGACACTTTTCTTAAAAAGAAAAGTGTTGTACTATAATTCTACTTCTGGAAGTAAAGGATCGTATTACACATGAGCAATTTCTTCCCAACCTGTGTACAGTACGGCCATAGACATAGCACTATTGCAACATCTTAAAAATAGAGTCTGTTCTTCTCTGCTCACAAATTGCCAATGTGATATTTTTTTTTATGCAGTTCTTAGGAAAGAAAAATGGTGGATGTAGATTGTGCTGAAAAATGAGACTCAACATCTTAGCAGCCAAACAAGAGAATTAGAAAATCATTCAACTCAAATTTCAAATGCATGGTTATGAGATGTGCTCAGAATCACAATGATTGTGAGAAAATACAGAAATTCAAATTAGAAGAAAATTTGTGACATTAGAAGTTGAGCAACAAATTGAACCATGCAGTTTCCACACACAAGAGTTTCAGAGATCAAAAGACAGGCATATTGCAGAGAGAATTGTGCCAAGGGTTTCTGATCAAGTCAGTTGAAAGCGTCAAAATTGAAGAGAACTGCAGATGATTCTGCAGACATAAAAATAAAGATCATACTAAACTATAACTATTTTTTTTTTGTTATGAAACACTCCTTGAAACTTCAGAGGTATATTCAGAACAATATGATGATGATATCATCAATCATATCTGAATATAATATGACATATTTAAAAAAAAAGTTGAAAATTTATAAAAGCCTGTTATACTGACCTCTTAATAAATTAGATATGGTATAAAATCTTAAGGAATTGCTTGCAGTTACAGCTTCGATTTTATAAATTCAATGTTAAAAATTCTTGTAAAAGTTGAAAATTTATAAAATTTTAATGTAGCAGGAACACTCTTAATAAATTAGATATAAGAAAATTTATTAATACAAATATTTATGAAATATATAGTAACACAATTAAAAAATCAAAACAATTTACCTCCATCACTGTTTCCTTCTTCAGCTATGGTATCTAATAATCTATCAAATGCGTTTTCAAATGCTACAATTTTCTGAATATTAGCATTACTTTTTGTTAAATGGGCTAATAAAAGCAAAGCCTGTAATAATATATTTAAATTAAAACAATAAACTGTCAAAATTATTTTTGCAATTTTTGTGTAATGATAAAATTTCTTACATCATTTCTTATAACTTCTCTTGTATCTGACAAAAGATCCATTAAACGAGATACTCCCATTGGACTAACTAATATTATTTCTTGTAATTCCCTTGCTTTATGAATAAGAAGTCCAGTTAGAAGTTTTACAGCTGGCCATCTTACTTTGAAATCAAACTCCTACAAGAAAATAGTAGTAGCTTTTTAAAAGGAATTTAAAATGCATATAATACATTATGTTCAGATTAATGAGAAACAAAGATCCCTGTCAGAAACCCTTGCTGATATGGGAGTTTTTGAATAGTATTCCTTCACAATGTTTAATGCTGAATCCAAATATGCCACCAACAAATTGGTATGGACAATGTGTAGGAAGGTAATTTTTGAAATAAGAAGGAATATTGTTACATAAATTCTAACACTGTTTCAAAGCTGGAAAACACTATGAAGTTCACTTTTGGCAGGGCACTTAATTTTTGCATAATTTGCAAAAATTAAAAATTTACATTTGATTCTGATGAAACCGTGTTGTTGTTGATTTTACCTTGCTTCTTTACAGACACACTACGGTGACATTATTCAACACTTGGCAGATTATTCACCACTTTATTCAGTTGGTAAATAAAGTGGTGAATAATCTGCCAAGTGTTGAATAATGTCACTGTAGTGTGTCTGCAAAGAAGCAAGGTAAAAATTTACATACAAATTTCATTTATTAAAAACTGCTGTAAAATGTTTTCACATTGTTTTCCAAAACTGACAGACACTGTGGCATTCATTTTTTTGACTTGATTACTCATTTTTGCAAATTTTTCATAACTTACATGTGCTTACCTATTTTTTCTTTTGGCATTTGGATTATAAAAAAAAGTCATTGACATTGGAAACAGAAATGAAAGTATTTCTTATGTTTGTAATAAAATACTACAGTTTGTAAACAAAGTAGATCTTAAAAAGTTTTAAAAATACATTTTGTTCTAATTTATTTGAATTTCATTTGACTAATGTATTCACTAATAAGGAACAAGCATTTATTTCACTTTCATTTGTATTATTTCATTACAAAAATAAGGAATACTTTTATTTCCATTTCTAATACTTTTGCATAATACAAATTTTAAAAAAGTATGCATGCTTGTGCGTGTGTAGTTCCAAAAAATTCACAAAAATTAGAAGTTGAGTCAAAAATGAATGCAGCAGTGTTTGTCAGTTTGAAATAAATAAAATTTGAATGCAAATTTTGATCTTTGCAAATTGTGCAAAAATTAAGAGTCCTGAAAAAAGTGGACTTCATAGTGTTTCTCAGGTTTGAAACAGTGTTAAAATGTATGTAATAATACTCCTCCCATTTCAAAAAAATAAACTTGCTACACATTGTCATATCAACTTGTTGTGGCATATTTCAGTTCAGTGTTAAAGATTGTGAAGGAATACTATTCAAAAATTCCCATATCAGCAAGGGTTTCTGACAGGGATTCTTATTTCAAGTTAAGCTGAACACACTGTAAAATATGTTTATAGAATTAAACTTATTGTTATATGTGGATATGCATTATTACACTTACATCTAATAATTCTAGAAGAAGTGTTACATTTTCTGTTTTCTTTATATATATTTCTGTAAACTGAATTCCCAAATCTTCATCTGATTTTTCTGGAATAATATCTTTAAAGAAAAAATATCAATTAGACTGGTTAAAGACAAATGTTGATATTATTGTTAATAAATGCTAAATTTTCTAAAAATTATTTTTATCAGATATTTCTAAAACAAATAAAACAAATTTTATTTGTTTAAAATGATTTTTATTTAAGTTTGGTCACAAACACAAAATCTAATAAAGCTTTTAATGTGAAACTTAGTTACTCGTTACAAAATACACACACACACACACAACAATACGAAACATCTACTTTAGTTAGACATGTTTTTAATGAACTGTTACTGACTACCAGCTGTAACAGACTACAGTAAACAACTGCAATAATATCTTGCAAACATCAATTTAACTGTTGTTAATATCATTTATATGAAAATTTATTGACAGAAAAAAGTATATATAAAATAATATAAAATGCATATTTTTATGTAAATGATGTTAACAGTGTGCAAATGGATGCTTAAAATTAAAAAACATTAAATCATTAATTTCTTTATTAAAATAGCAATTTTTGTTTGTTATTTGGAAAATTATTTCATATTCAGATTAACTAAAATCTAGGTAATTTCTGATTGATCTGATTGAAATGAATAATTAAAAACAAAAACAAACAAATTGACCTTTCTTTTGAATATTAATTGATTCAAGATTATGAAGGTTTCAAGAGGATTCAAGAGGATTGGAATATTCAAAATTTATATTTCTGAATATTCTAATTGGGCTGCAATTTGAAAAAATTGTAATAAATTCCCACTGTTGTCTGTCTGCTGTCTGTTCTTCCTTAATCTTGAGAACGGTGTTAGATAGACAAAAGTGAGATATATTCATGATTATATGATATACGATTACACAGTCATGTGATTTCAATTCAAAAATTTTCCCCAGAATGGAGTTACATAGATGACTGGCATTACAGTTATTCTTGTCAGGAAAAGTATGATGTACAGGAGCAAGATACTACTAATTTGAGATCAAGATCATATATTTAAATTAAGTAAATTATAAATTGCAACCCAGCAATGTGACAATGTCATAATAATTTTGTTCTGTTAATAGATTAATATTTTATTACATAGATAACTAGTTCATCCATCATTTATATAAATTTAAAAAATCATCTGGAGATAATAAAGCCCATTTTTTATATCTAACCAACCTTATTATACAGTTAACCATAATTTCTATAACTTTTAACTCTTTGATGAATACTCCTGTAAGTATATATCAATAATTGCAATATTAAAGGCCCGTTTACAGTCAATTAGCTATACCTATTGAGAATAAAATCTTTGAAAATTGGAGTCAGATATAAATGTAAGAAAGGAGAATATTTTACTTTGTCACTAAAGATTAATTTATAGAAAAAAATAGGATCAAGGAATGATCAAGAAAATAACCAGAAAAATAATAAAGATTAAAATATATTCCTCTTATATTGTTATAATACATTTATAATAAATCACATACTAATAATTATTCATACATTAGTTACTAACTAATGTGACTACTAAGTTACTAACTAATCATAAATTTTGACATGTTTCACATAACTTAAAATAATATTCTCATCAACCTAATAATATATTATTAAGCTAAGAGTCTCTCTAAAAACAAAAGTTTTTGAATGAAAAAGTGCAATATGATCCAAATGATCCATAATATAAAAAAACTGAACATAAAACCAATCACACAATTTAAAAATATTATCAATATTTAGAGCTAATGATTAAAATGTAATAAAGATAACTAATTATTGTGCTGAGGTACAGCTACTTTCTAATGTAACTGTTACTCTATGCTTGATATAAATACAAATTCCTTTTTACTTAAAAATGCACAAATATGATTTTTGACAAATAAAAAGATCTGATGCACATCATTTTTTTATGCTAAAAAATTGTTTTAAATTAATATAGAGTCAGTAAATTTAAGAGTATGACTTAGAATCGCATGAATGTTGTCTCTTCTTATTCTTAAAATTTACAACTCATAAATTTCAGTTTTATTTTAATAAAAATATGTTGATTTTCTTTTTGAATTATTTGAAATTAATACAAACATTAATCATCTTATTAACATGAAATCAAACATAGATTTTCAAATTATGCAAAATAATTATTGACTGATTAGATCTGATCAAGAATAAAAATTCAAATCCAGTTCCATGCCTTACTTTTTCCAAATATTTCTAAATTATTTAATCATGTTCAATAAATAGCGATTCACCTAGTTAAGGTGGCAAATTATGTTAATTGTAATGAATATTTTAATTAAACAATAGTCATCTGATTTCATTTAGCACAGTAGAAGTTGGTTAATGTGGTACCTAATAAGTTAAAATATCTAGTAGTTGGCATTTCTCTGAGAAAAATAGCTGATAATCCAGAATTGTCTAACATAATCTAGAATGATAGTATTCTAAAATCAAAATTTGTTTAAAAACATTGTGCACTAAGGATCCTGGAAGAAATACATTGTGTAGAAAATTATTATATGCATGATCATAAATATTGATTTTTCATAACATGTTCATTAAAACACTTTTGCACACCTCTCAATCAATCTCAACACAACATATTTATGCACTGTATCGTTTTCAAACTGACTAAAGAAAGAACTTGTGTGTGTGTGTAAACAAATCAGAAACATACAAAAGTATGAATGTTCTGACAAAATGTACAGCAGCAATTCCTCTGGAAATTGAAAGAAAATTTCACCACTTCTAAAATGCTTCTACTACTTTTAATTTTATATTCCCATGTTGCAGTCTTCTGTCTACTAAAGGGTCAGATTAATATGCATTTAAAACTACAATGTATGCTATAATTTCACCATGTGGTGAAATTTGCACTATGTAGTGAAAATCCTGGTACAGCAATATCTGCAATATTCAGATTGCATATAATTTATCAAATTTTACAAAAATATATAAACATCAAATAAAATGATATTATTGATAATCCAGTCTGGTCCTGTAGGTGCTGAATTAACAGACTTACCCTGAAAATCCTTAATATTTTTTTTGCTGTAATAAAACTTATTATAAAAAACATTTCTTTCCTTACCTTCTTCTTGAGCACCAGAGATTACATTTGAGATAGCATCTAATGCATAGCCAACAATTTCAGCATCACTTCTATCTGTTTCTAAAATTTTAATAAGAGCATCCATTCCTTGAGCACCCACTTCCAACCGAAATTTCTATTAAAGAATTAAAATAATAATAATAATTTATTTTAAAATAATTACAGTATTATTATTTTCAATAACACTCCCACTAACAAACTGAATCTAATAATTTTTATTTCATTTCTATATTAAATTATTTTTTATTGTTTTTACCATAGTAAATTTCTATTTATCTTTCTCCTCTTTCATATATTATAAATTGTTAACTGATTAATTATAAAAAATGTTTTTTTTTCCTAATAAAATAATGCTCACAAATAGGAAATTGAAGATATTTAGTAATTTAAATAATTTATGTGTTCTCAATAATTATTCTTATACAATTTGCATACTGTAATAAAGCTTTTCATGAAAATTTGTTTTTGTTTGTTTATTTATGGCAACACAACACTTGGGCGATCTGCCTAGGGGAATGCCTTCCAGGACATCTTTTTAAGGGAAACTGGCCTCTATTTAGGCATTACAGACGTGGAGAAAACCTGGAAAATTCCATGTGGCCAGCCCGTCCGAACGAGGCGTAAACCTACGACCAAACTCCCAGTGTTCAGGGAATGAAGATGTCTTGGCCACTGGTGAGCATTTTCACAAAAGATTCAATAATTTTTCAGCATAGACCAGATGGGACAATTGATATTCTATTATTTTCCATAAAAATGCTTTAATTCCATATTAATGTTATTTATTCACTAATATGAATTTTGTTGAGTTTAAATATGAAAAAATTTTAAACAATAAAATTTTTTAAATATTAAATTTCTTCTACTTGTATCTACTACGAATATTAAAAATTACATTCTACCGTGTACTGTAAATCCTAGTTTTCAGGTATTCTAATTCAACACCTGAAAATATGACTTACATGAGAATGTTATATTTTAACAGCTGTAGTTTTCAAAGCTTTAAAAATGTTTTTAGCAATTTTTATTTATATGAAGTTATATTCTAATAGATATCTCCCGTGTATAATTTGGAAAGTTTAGTTATTTAATTTACACCTCTCGTCTTTTTAATACCTTCAAATATGATTAATTACATATATTTTGATTTCAGTGATTAAAGTATCACTAATTATAAATGCATTAAGCTCATAATTAATATACAGTAACCTTTAATATATTGTATTCATTGTACTTTAAAATTCTTTGTTAATGTCATTTAAGCAATATTTGAATACTTTAATAACTTATTGTGCTTATTTAAACATTTATCGTTTTGAGTTTTTTTCGATTTAATTAAAATAAAGTAAATTTAGATATAATAAATATTTTCTATCTTAATCTATTTTTGTGACTAGGAGATGTAATTTTAACTAATAAAAGAAAATAATAATCTGTTGTTTATAAACTTCGATGAAAACTATAACATCTGTTTTAATAATTTTATTCTCAATTAAAATTATGTATATGTTTTAATTGGCTTGTCATCAGTGATCATTTTAACTGAATAAAAGGTCATCTCTGCAGAGAAAGACTGTTTTGTTCCTGGTGATTGGACATGACAGAACTGAAGATACTTAGTTTCTTCAAACTTTCTATATAAAATTAATTTTTTTGTATTTACTCATACATAAAGTTATATAAAATTAATAAATTTATTAAGTATAATTAAATGCATTATTACTTATTTTTTATTTATACTCTCTTTAATTTTTGATAATTATGGTCATGCGACTACATAAAAAATTTATATCAACAGTTATTTATAAAATCATTTAATAGCAGTTTGTGAGTTCTTTTTTCTCTTTAGTAAATATATTTTGTATATTTTTATGGAAAAATAAATTGATCAATTTTCTAAACTATTATAAATGAATATCAAATCCTTAATCATAATAATTACATTCACAATAATTAAAAGTAACATTTATGCAATTGCTTATTAATGACAAAATAAAAGTTGATCCTACTTTATCCCATTTGAAATTTCATGTAGATAATCTATAGATTATTTATGTTTGAAGGGCAATTTTAAAACAATTATGGATTATGCAATGGTATAGATTATCTGTCAATTTTAACTTTTAATTACAAACTTAGCAACATGTCCAAATGTTAGTTAGCACAGTCTAAATTTTAGCATAAATTTCATATTAACCATCTTAACGAATGTGATTTTAATCTCCTTGCTGAAGTACATTTACTTTGCTTCACTGAAAAGCAACTCTTTTGACAAAATAACCTAATTACAAAGTGGGACATTCAGGCTCCCAACAAAACTCTCCAAGGACAACAGGATGAAAATCATAAAAGCAAAACTACTGGTCACTTTTACTTAGGCCAATGCTCAGACCTAACCACACTACATTCCAACAGTTAAATCTCACAACTACATTCAAGTTAAAAGCAATAAATTTTAATTTCTAACCCCAAAACAAATTTTCAAGTAGGTTTCTGAAAATCCATCTAAAGTAAAGTGACACTCTTAGAAATAAATTTACTATCTTTAAATAATTATGATTTAGTGTTATCTAAAATAGATTCAAAATGTCTTGAAAGACCTTTTCACTAGAAAAATAACAAAAGAAATTAGAAAGCAAAGTAAATAAAAAGTAGCTCCTATATACAAGTTGAGAATCCTTTATCCAAAATTCCAAAAACTGAAAATCTCTAAAATCAAAAAGTTTTTTAAGTGCCGAATTAGCGTGCCACAAATGAAAAATTCCAAAGTCCTGGAAATGTTCAGGATCTTTTAGCCTTATATACTATATTCATAGGAAAGGTGTGACTTTCATATTCCTTAAGTGTCAATCAATCCTAATTTTTAAGATATGTTTATCAGAACATGTTCAAAAATTTAAACAAATACATGATTCTTTCCAACAGCTCAATTAACAGCTCTATGTAAATATTTTTAAAAAATATTTTCACACTACTATGGTAGCTATCTTTAAAATATGTATTCACATAAACATATGAAAATTTTTGTTTTATCAAAAAGTAAAAATATCCCTAAATAAGCCACATTTAAAAAAGTAAAATCAGTATAATATAGATCAAATTAAATCTGACAAAAATATATATAATAATTATTATATTATTAATAAATATAAAAACTAACAGAGAGTGACATTGTCTTTATCAGTTGCTTTTGTTTTATATATAAAATTGTTTTGTGCATCTGTGGTAAAAGTGCTTGGATAACAAGTGCTACAGCATATACTTCTTATAGCATGCACATAACATAGCAAATGAAATTGCTGTTGTGTTATAAAAATGATATAACAGCATAATAAATGTCAAAGTTTCCTGAAGAATCTTTTAATATTTGTAATCACAACAAATGTATTTCCACATCTTGGGAAAAACTACTTGATAACAGAAGTTTGTAAATTTGAAAGATTGTAAATTTTAAAGCTAAAATTGTGTTAGCTTCCTTTTACTGCAGTCACAGCTCTGATACACCCATTTCTTTCCAGCTTTCTCTTATGGAAACTAACAACGGAGCTGAAGACAAATTCTGTTGTTGTTGGCTTTCTTTTGTTTATCAACTTTTTCAGTTGTCACAAGACATTTTCAATCCAATTCATGTTCTGGTTGTTCAGCAGCCATGGAAATTATGTTGTGGCATGCCTCAAGAAAATTGTTCACATTTAGCCCAATGATTGTAAAACTTTATATGCTGAGATACAACGCCAAATATATTACAAGGAAGAAACTATAATTTCTTGTAATAAGATGACAATGCCTCACATCATTGGATATAAAGAAGGAATTATAGTTTCTTCCTTATAGTCAATGATATGAGGCATTGTCATCTTGTACACTATCTCTTCATCATTGTCCTGATCTTCAATTGTTGATAGCAAAAAAATATCCTAGAATTTCAATGTACACATTGGTTATTATGTTAGTTTGAAGAATGGCAAGTTTAGTAATTAATAATCAATGATATTGGTTTTGGGTAACAAATTAAAATAATTGTATTCTGCTATTTAATCTACGTTTCATGTTGATTGTTTCATACAATTTTATTTTGGCTTCCACAATACTATTATTATATAATATAAAAAGAGTTGAGAGCACTGTACAGTATGAAAGGATCTTTATCATAAAAAACTGATGCTGAGATCTGTTTGAGGAAGAAGTAAATATTAAAAATTTGTAACAATTTACTATGAAAAATTTTCAAAAATGATGAATATTAGAGAAAAAATTAGTTCTTACTTCATTGTTTTCTCTTATATTAATCTAGATCAGGGGTTACCAAACTTTTTTCATAATGGGCCACATAACTGAGAGAATGATGAGCACAGTCCGCATAACCATTTCGTTCAATACAATACACTGAATACACAAAAAGTAGAGACAATCAACATATTTATTTACCAATACAAACACGATTGCTGCAGCAAGCTCGTAATCGCTTTCCTTAGAAACTTCATTGTAGGTACTTACACAAAAAGTGTTCTGATATCCAAAGTTGCAAAAAACCACTGCATTGTTTATTTCACTGATTTTCCTGAAAATTATATTACCGTCGGATGAAAAAAATCAGATTGGACCAATTTTGGCAATTTTACTTAACTTATTTTAATTTTTTCTACATAGTAAGTTTATCTAGAATCTATGATATTTCTATATAAATAATTACCTTTTAGCTCATTTGTGGTACAGTGTGGCAGTGGGCTGGATGAACTGACCTCCCGGGCCAAATCCAGCCTGCGAGCCGTAGTTTGGTGACCCCTGATCGAGATCAATGGTTTCTTAACTCATTTCTAATCATATCTAGCCTACAAATGCAGAACATGACAGTATATCCCATCTAAGTGATGCAAATTAAAATAATTTCAAAAACTTCACAAACTTTACAAAATATAATTAAAATGGAAGTATACCTCAAAATTATCAATTATTAATCATAATTTTCATTATTATAATTTCACAAACTTTTAAAAGATACTTTATTAAATTTAAAAATTTTTGAATTTTTATTAGATTCTTTAAAGTCTTTCAATGTTTTTTTGTTATTCTGACAAATGACATTGAGTAACAGTTGAAGTTGAAGTTTGACAGTAGTGACTAATAAGATCACACGTCACAAATATCAGCTTTAATCAGTTTTAATTGTCAAAGTAGTCCTAAAACTTAACAAAAAGAAACTATCTAGTTACTAAAACTTTTAAATTACATTAGAGTGGCAAAAAGCAGATGTCTGTATTGATTAAAATTCTTTATCAAATTATATTTTCTTTATCACAATAAGAAATTTAGGGAAAAAATAATAATAAATAATATTGTTGTTTATCACAATAATTATTGCTATTATAATAAAAATAACAAAACATAATGCAAAAGAATAAAAACTAATTAAATAAAGGAATATATAAATGATTAAAAAATCAATAAGCAAATTTTATAGCAATATTTTCTGATTTCTTTATAGTTATTGCAATGATTTTGAATTAGTATATTTGAAGGATTAAAAACTATCAATGTAACAAAATTAATGATAAAAAGTGAATTTGATAATATAAAACAATAGAGCTTTAATTAACAAAGTATTTCAAGTTCAAAAAAATAATTAAAAAATAAAATAATAATAAAGTCCTTGTATCTTAATGCTGTCTGTCAAGTTATGTGTGAAGTGAGTGAATATCCACTATTGACAATTTTATATGTCGTAACAACTTAAATAAATTTCATTAAAATGTTTGAATTGATTATATTTAATTTTAAGAAATAAAATTAGAATTAAAACCAATCAATATATTTTTAATCATCATATTAGCAATTCCAATTTTAAATTAAAAGCTATTAAAAAAGTGTAATAAATTAAATAATAAATGTAATCAGTTCTAGTATTAACACTGATTAAAACCCAAGGTTTTAATCAGTGTTAATCAATGTTCAAGCTAAAATTAAATAAAAAATATTCTGTTTTAGTGGACATAAACACAACCAAAACAAAAAACTTTTTCAAGCACATTTGGATACTAGAGCTGATTTTTCTTCTAAGGAGCTTGAGAATATTTTAGTTTTAGTTTATTGGTTTATTGTCCTTGAATTTTTAAGTTAAAAATTTGAACATTGATTTTATTTTGGCATTCTTAATTATTATTGTATATACTTAATCATGTAGATGTATATATGTAATCATGCCATAGCAAGATCGTTAATTTAGCTGCTTTACAAAGCACCTAGCTGTCTGATTAAATGGTGCTGTTTGTAATAAAGCTAACATTCAGATACTTTACAAAGAGGCTAAACCAAATCCTGCAGGACTGAATAACATTTCCATTAGATAAACTTAATTGTCACATTTACTTCTGATTCTTACACTCGAGCACTAAGGAATGTTACCAGATTTGACTACCAAAATGGACCACTCTTGTTTTAGTTTTGCATAAAAAAATCATTTGGTGTATTGCCTACTTTTTGGGCTACAAAAATTTGACTTGACTACATAAATTTTGTTTGTTTTGATCTAGAACAACAATACCTATCTCTCTTCATGTCATCTTTAGACATAATTTTATTTATATGCAAAAGCAAGCATAAGCATCACATAAAGGAGTTAACTAGGATGCAGAGAAGATGATTGATGATACCACTAAGAAACTTCCCCTATTAGATATTGGAAAAAGCATTTTTCTTAATGTACCAAAAAATAGATCATGGTTCTTTAGATACCAAAAATATTAAGGGAAAAATTATTGATTTCAGAAATGGAGTTTACAAGAGAGGCACTAAATCCAAAATGATTAAAAATTGGTTGTCAGTATGAATTACAAGTCATCAAATGTCATTATGATGATGAAATACCAGAAAGAAATCTTGGAGAATGTGTGATTAATCAATTATTATTTGGTGATCAAGAATTGCAAAAATGCTAATGCAAACCTGTGAAAAATCAGTGTCACAATAATAGATGAGCATGTTTAAAAAAAAAATTCTTTGAGGATCTAAATGTCATTCTAGTTTATCTTGCATTAATAAATAATGTATCCATTTGATACATTTAATATTATTTTGTAACTATTGAAGGAATTTAGCAACTTTAAAGTGTTTTTTCACTTTTATAATTTAACTTTGCACTGTTTAGTATGTCAAACTACCTCTCTTTATTTATGTAATGATTTTACAAAAGTTATTCTTTAATTATAATAATGTACCGAAATATTAAAAATACTTAGTAGATTTTAAAGATTTTAAATGGCCAATAAACAGTTAATATAAGTATTTATAACAATTAATTATTTCCTAAAAACAGGAAATAATACAAATACTGTACTCTTTTTACAATTTTCAACTTTATACATAGATAATTTCAATTATGCAATGTTTTTTTTACTTCCTAATATTTTTGTCCCTAACCTTAGTGAATAATTCACATTTTAGTAAAGAAGCTGAGATTTCTGCCACTTTACAGCTAAATGTAGCCTGCCACATTATAAAATGCAATGTAACAACAATCCAGCTGAACAACATTAGTTAGCTTTATTACAAAATGAAACATTTAATCAAACGACCACATGCTTTGTAAAGTGGCTAAATTAACAATCTGGTTGTAACATATAAATAACTACATGATTAAGTATATACAATAATATATATTAATCACTTATGTATATATATATATATATAAATAACACTAAATTTTTTTAAATATAAATTTAACTTATGAAATTTACTTTTGAAAGTGCTTTCAATGCACGACACGCATCTCGTCGATCTTCCAATAATACAGAAGTCTGCACTCTCTCCACTAATCTTTCCACCTAAAGAAACAAAAAAAATTTTTAATTATAAAGAACAAAAATATCTCACGATGCTTTTGTTGTATTAATTTTAGATTTTAAAATCATACAATGATATTTGATTTATGTATAATCTATTGTGTAACAATCCCAATGCATTCATAACAGAAAATAAAAATTCAATATAAAATGTGATACAGACAATAAAATAACTAGAAATCAATTTAGATTATAAGCAAGTCGAGTAAGTGTTTAAATAAAAAATTGTTTTAAATTAACTTAATGATTTAAAAATCTCAAAGTACAAGTTTACATAAAAATACTGATGTAAATTTAGAATTTTATTTCAAAGTAAAAATATTAAAGTTACTGTTTGTATTAAAATTTTAATTATTTAATACTGTTTAGTGATTAGTGATAAATTTAATATGTTGTTAAATAATAAATATTTGTTATTTTGTTATATAGAAAAGAGCATTAATAATTTAACAAATACTGTATTACTTTACTTCAAATATAAATTACTTTTTAAAATTTTTATTTCAGACATCTTTAATGATAAGAAAAAAATTATTATTATTATTATATTGAAAAAAAATACACAATGTAAAAATGAAACATTTGATATATATATATTATAAAATATAGTTCTAGATTTAAAATTAGGTTAGTTTAATTATTTATGAAAATTATTGTTAAGTTATAATTAGTGCATTTTAATATTAAATATTTCTAAGAGATAATACAAAACACTTCAATTCTGCTTAGTAAATGTAATCATGACTAAATAATTGAGAATATATTTCCATATTCTCATGCATTTACATTAAATTTAGGATTTTGATTTCATGACTTCAAAGTTTTAAATATCTAGAGAACAAGACAGATAAAGTACTGACAAATATATTTCCTAGATTAACTGATGCAAGATCACAAAATTATACTGTGCATTCAGTTATTGTCTAGAACTGACTCACTATCTCGATTAATTCTTCCATTTTCATTTAAATGTTGACCAATTGAAAATTTGAAACAAATTCAAAATGCCCATTTTTTAATCAGATTACCAAATTTTTTGATTTATTGGTTACAATGTTGGTTCTGGAGATTAGTTGTTTAACTCAACTCACCTCCAGAAAGTTTCTTACATCTATTATCTTATATTATTTTCTATAAATTGAAATTGATTCTCAAAGATAAAAATTTTTGTTGAAAAAAATATAACAGTTATAATTTCTATATTCTATTAAAATGCACATCTTATAAACTTATTTATCCTTTAAAAAAATGTTTAGTCAAATGATACATTATAAAAAATTTTTCTCAATGTTGAATGGAAGCACAAGTATACTTGGAATCTCTCACAAAATATTTAAACATGTTTCATTCTTTGAAGAAATAACTAGTCTGTTCTTACTTGTTTTATTATGCTAAGTAACTATTATCCTATTTCTGAAACTGTTATTAGGCCCCGAACATGCTGCAACATTTTTGAAATAATAATAGTACAGTAGAGCGTCAATTATCCGAATCAATTGGGGACTGGGGTTGTTCGGATAACTGATATTTCAAATAATCAATTATGTACGAAAAAATAGTTTAACGTATCCAATGTTGAAATTTTTCTTCGTTGCATGTCGCTTTGCGTTGAATTTTCATCAATGTTAAGCTTAACAAAGACTATTGTATCGTTAAAAATTAGTTTTTTATTTTGTACAAACAAAATAAATATATTGAAAAATATAAAAACAATAAAAAATTATACTTCAGGAGTTAATTTAGTATCAAAAACGTAAAATATTTGAGTAGCCCAAGATATAGCCAAAGATTTCAGTGCCACAGCACTAGCAAAAATTTAAATTTGCCGACTGGAATTCTTTCGGATAATTGACGCTCTACTGTATTTGAAATTTGCCTCACATGCAAAAATTATAAGGTACAGGTATCCCTTGTACAACATAGCACTTCAACACAGTTTAGCTCTAACACAGTTTGAAAATTGAAGATACTCCATACAACACAACTTCCAGTTTCACTCCAACACAGTTTTGGAAAGCCTTCACACAAAATTTCACAATTTTTCTTGAATTAAGAAAAAGTCTAGAGTAACAAAGTATAAACTTTGTTATTCAATATTTTTTAAAATTCAAGCAAGCACATGTCTCAAATTTGCTAACAGATTTTAGAATATTAAAATTTTCAATTTGTTTTGTGTCTTTTGTAAGGTTTACTTTAATGAAAACCAATAGAATTTTTTCTTCCTTGTCCTAGGTTTCCTATCAACTAGGTGTCATTGCTTTCAGACTTTAGCCCTTAAGACTGTCACTGTGTTTTCTTTTTATACATTAATCTTCGTACTTAGTAAAGTTTATTTAGACATTTTTAGGTAAGTGTTATTAACTTTTTTTTTTTTAACTGTAGGTATTACTTCATATGTAAAAATGATGAACGAAATACAGCATTATCTCAGTATCTCAGTATTTGAACAGTTCCTAACTTGAACAATTCAGTATTAAAACACAAATTCTGAAAAAAGTCGCTCAGTATGCGACTAAACAAACATGATCCTCTAGAACAAATTTTCGATTAACAACATTTTTATTTTGTCATCCATAAAATATGATTAAATTATATGATCATAAATTATAATTAAAAAAAATGAATTAGTTGCTGATGTTTCTGATCAAGATCAACAAAATGCTGAGATGATGATGATACTCTCTAAAATAAAAAAAATGCTCTCATTTAACAGTACTTTTATTTGTAATTGTTAGTTAATTATTGATTGCTTTCAAAAATCTTCTAATCTGAATACCGTTATTCTGATAAAATCGCACTTACTAAACCTTTATTGTCCGGTACTTGTAAACTATTCGTAAAAACAAATGTTTTTGGCCTCAGACGAGGTCTTCTTCAGGTTAAAATAATTGGATTCCATTCTTAGAATGAATGTTTAGTTTTAAAATATAATCGAATAAAATCGAATGCGTGTGTTACGTATCGTCATCGTTTTGTTGTTCTTCGCATTACGTATGCGAAGAACAACAAAACGATGATGATACGTAACATGCACATGAATTCGATTATATTTTAAAACTAAACATTCATTCTAAGAATGGAATCCAATTATTTTAACCTGAAGAAGACCTCGTCTGAGGCCAAAAACGTTTGTTTTTACGAATAGTTTACAAGTACCGGACAATAAAGGTTTAGTAAGTGTGATTTTATTGATTGCTTTCATATACCTACATATTTCTCTTAGTAACAAAATATAATATATATTTTTGTTAAATTTTTGGAACCTAACCCCATGCATTAGTCCTTTGTTTTATATAGCATGAATTCATATAACATGACACTTTTTTCAGAATGTAACTATCATGCTATATGAGGGATACCTATACTACATTTGATTTAGATTGAACACTCAGGTTGTTTACATCTAGTCAATACAGTTTCACAATTTTACATATCATACAACACCAAAAAGCAGTTATGAAATACTGAACCTTTACTATTACTAACATTTTCATTTCATAATTGATTTTTGGTGTTTATGTGTTATTATCTGCCAACTATGACCAGTTTTTATTCTTGTGAATCGTGCACTTGTCATCGTGGCAGACATGCTTTTTGACTCAGATTGAAAAACAACTCAGTAGCAATTATTGTAATGTGTTTAATCAATGAAGAAAATGAAGAGGATAAAAACTATATATGAAAATTTGGTCGATATGGATGCAGGAATAGTTTGTTTTCACTTCATTTTCAACCAAAGATGACGTCATGCATGTTGTCAGTCAATACCAGATCATCATTGGCTGGTTTAACAAAGCTACATGCAACTCTCACAATAGAAACTAGAGGAAAATGTCTCTGAGATTGCATAAAAATTTGCAATGTACATTGTCTCAAATAACCATTTGAGGCAACATACAATGTACAATGTTGCATGCAATGTAGTAAAATTTTGTTAAAGTCGTACCATGTTTGGGCAAGGTTGTATTATATCTTTGAATGCACTTGATTTAGCTGCATTGATATACATTCATTGACTGTCCATTATTTGTCATCATCTCCATACAGAGATAAACTTTATGACGAAGTTCTAAAGTAGACTAGTAAACAATAAAATAAATTTCATTATGTTTGGCAGAAGTTGTATATCTAAAAATTAGAAAGCATATCTCTGTTTTATTAAGATATAAAACTGAACATTGTAATTTTATAAAATTTTTGTAAAACAGAATACAGAAATAGTATAACACAGAATAAACTAATACTTTAAGAAATTTTTTAATATGAAAACAATTACAGTAGAAACTCATTTTAACAGATCATGGAACAACAGATCTTTTCTCTGGGTCCCACCAAATCAATGAAATTTTACCTCTTTTTAGCAGATCCATAACTCGGAATAAAGGATTTTTTTCTAGTTCCATCTTCCGTAATCATATTCTTTTCAACCTTTAATTAATAATTGGATGTTTCTGGATACTAAATTTAAAAAAATACATTGCATGCTGTGCAAACTAAGCATGTGATTGTCATGATTCTCACTGCTAAAGTTACAGCCATGCATTAGTGCTCTCCTGTGGCATGTTGATTAGTGGAAGAAAACTACTTCTAGCTTAAAACTTTCAGACACGTGTTCAGGAATATTGCACCTTGAAATTGTGCTCACACAACAGTAACAACTTGTACTAATGAAGCCACCAAAAGCCCAGAAACATCACATCATCACAGTAAATTGAGATGGATGAATTTTTTTAACATACCATGAACTGCTAATGATTATATGTACTTTGTCTGTTTTTGGGTTATATATACAGTTTCTGTCAGCTTTGTTATGGCATGTGTATGATCTTGTAATATATGTGTTTATATAAAATAAAGGATAGAAATCTCAAGAGACTGAATAATTTCGAGTACAGGTGTTTTTTACATAGGTATTTAAAAAGCAAAAATTCGCAAATCACACCTAAATTCAAACTTTCCAGCAAATAAAAGTCATAAATTAGAAAGATTGAACGTTTTCAGCCTTTAAAATACAAACAGAAAAAATGTTCTATAAATAAAACAGTTTTCTTCAGTTTGTATTTCCTGAGGAAGGCCAATAAATTTAGTGGCCGAAAACGTTTGATCTTTATAATTTATGACTTTTATTTGCTGGAAAGTTTGAATTTAGGTGTGATTTGCGACTCTATGGTTCCAGTTTATGGTGAGGTTGTATTTAAAGCAAAAATTTTTTTGAATAATGGATATTTCCTGGGCTAATAAACCAACTGATAAAAATTAATAAATTAAGTTTTATTTTTTACATTCTATAAAACTGACTTGACAAAATATATTTTAAATTGAATTCTTACAGAATTCTTTGATGATAATCATTAAAAAAATTAACTATTTAATCCTTAGATATTTTGTTCTATTTTTATTTTGTAATATGTTTTAAATTTTGGCAATAAAGTCTCTCATAAAAGACTTTATACTATTGCTAATACTTTATTCGGTTAGCTACATTAAAACATAAATTATCAGAATAAACTTGTGACTTTACTATCATCTAAGTGGCTGAAATATGCTGAAAGCACAGTTGATTGACATATTTTAAATGGAAAAATCTATCCAGAAATCAGTTTTAGTATATTATCAAAACAATTTTAAATAAATGATTACTGATAAAAAAAATTGTGATTGCAATGCATATTTTCATCTATTTTCTGTGATGGAAAGAAATTATGAAACAGGCTTTATCAATTCCCATGAACTAATATGATCTTGTTACACTTTCTGCTATTGAAAAGTAGTATTATCTAGTATTACTTGATAAACTCTTAATTTAATGATTTCTCCAGAATACATCAGCATTCACATTGTCTTTTTGTCACGTTTAGCTTATTAACATAATTTTATATGATCATCCAGTGCACAGATATTTTATTAAGTAGGCTGTGCACTGAAAACCTTTATAGTAAACTTAAAAAGAATAATAATAAAAATTAAGTTCTAAATCTAAATTTATCATAAATTTTTTAACAGAAGTTCATATATTTCTATTTCACAAAAGGATAGTTCTTATAAGTTCACTGCATTGCATTTTATTTTATTCGTTCTTGTCCAGCTCATTCTATAGTATCAAAACTTTCACCTTTACACTGAAAATTTTATTTATAATCATCACACTATGTTTTTTAACCCTATTTATGAGCTCTTGTCAGGCGTTATATCTTTCATTTTAGAATAACCCAAATTCTCTGAATGCTTTCAAATCAAATTTCTGAAAATATTAAACTTTGCAGTCAAATTATGTATCATTGCAGCAAATTAGTAGTTGCATTTTCTTTTAATTTGTTCTAATTCCTTTTTTAATGGCATATCACCATATTGTTGAAAGTTTCCACATCTCTAGAATTTATGCATTTGTTTTTAAGCTTGTGTTTAAATACCTCAAATTTGCAAAGATTCAGTCAAAGAAATTTCAAGTATGAGTATTCTCTAAAATAATAAAAGAGAAGCAAAAACACATTTTATGTATTCACACTTGGATGAACTAAACCAAAATGTAATGCTATTTACCCAACATATCTTTGTTTGAAAACTAATATGTAGTTTTATCACATATAATTTCTATGGTTTAATCTTATCACATGTGATTAAGGTGATCAAATCTTAATTACTATTCTTTCATTCATTTAGTAACAGAAATTACTAGTGATCATTTTGTAACGGTGATGAAATAACAGTAACATGATATCTCATTCTTCAGTACATTTTGCTTTTTGCTTGGAGAGTTGATTTATTTTACTGTTACATTTTAGGCAACAATTTGTGACTAGCTACAGCTTATATATTAAGTATTACATATGAATTTTAGAAGGTTAAAATATATAATTCATTTCAGATACTACTTTCACTATTTACTTTAATTCAATAGCTAACTAATGATTGCTAAATATTTTTATAAAATAAAAATGTATCAACCAAATGAAATAAATTTTGTTCTATAAAAACTGATTTAGAGAAAACTTTCAAAGAATTTTAATTCTATCACTTGTATCCATACAATAATATAAAATATTGAAATGTTATATTTATTACTTATATAATTTTTTGCTAATAATTATAGATCCCACTGGAGAGAGATCTACAGAGTGGATGTACTGCTTAGGTGGCTGCAAGAGGCACAAGATGGAAAAATGTAAGGAGGTTGTTCCAGCAGTTAACAGTCCAAGAGGCTCAAATAACAATTGAATAATAATTATAGATCCAACACCACTTTTTCGTTGCTTGTTTGTTATACCAACACAATACTTGGGTGATTTGCCTGGGGGACACCTTCTTGTTAAGGGAAACTGGCCCCTATTTAGTCATTACATATGTGGAGAAAACCCGGAAAACTCCACGTGGCCAGCCCGTCTGAGTGCATTGCAAACCCACGATTGAACTCCCAGTGTTCGTGGACATAACCGCTTGGCCACTGATGAGCCCTTTTGTTGCTTAAGAAATTTTAGATATATTTTTTCTTGAAAATTAGAAACAGGTTGGGAATTTGAGCTTGATATTCTTACAACATGCGATTTAATGGCGATACTTACCAGAGTGATATGACTGTTACAAAATGTTGAAGGATTTTATCAGCTGCATCTAGAGTCTTAAAAAGTTCAAAACTTACCAAGTAATCTACAGATTTTCATTTTAATATTCTTTAAATGTTTTTCACTCTTAATATAAAGGAATATGAAGCACTTTACTATTAGTAAAGATATTTAATTTAATTTTTAAGGTAGACCCATAAAAATATGGGTCTACCTTAAAAAACATTTTAAAGCGGTCTAAAAATATAAAATAAAGTGAAGAATGCTAAATCATAAGTGCAAATATTAAAAAAATAAATAGAGCATTGTATATAAATTACATATTATTTATCAGTTGGGTTTTTATTATTGTTTAAATTAACACAAAATATATTTTCAACGTACTGTTTCTGCTCCAGTTGGTTGATTAGCGTTAGCTTGGGAACCGAACAGTGTTTTGACGTACTCCATTTTGTGTTGCGTGGACCTTCTCACTGACCTCTCTCGGCAATTTCTCTTCGTTGTAATAAAGACGTGTCAATAATAATTTTTCAAACTCGTGTACAGAAATATTAATAAATTATAAAAGTACGCGGAAATTTTATATTTAAATAATAATATTAATAAAAAGGAGTAATCTAAATGTGTTTTAATTTAATTTTGTATTAAGGTGGCAACGTTAGTTAACATTTTAAAAATGGAACCTGTCATGCCGCTTGTATGAGTTTTTAAAGTAATTCGCTAGAATTAAAGGGAAAATGAGCAGAAAGCTTCCTCAAGGAGATTATCCTAATAAGGATTTCTGTGAATTTCTTTTAGGTTGTTATTATACGTTTAATAGATAATTCATTAATAATTAGTTTTATAAGGAGAAATGTCAAATTTATTTTGGTAGAAGTAAATTTCTCATTGTTTATTTATATATGTACAACATATCTAAAAGTAATGTCTGCTTTAATTTTCAATATGTATTTAATATTCATATTTTCTCATTCATTCCACCATCTTCATTCCAATCCCCACAAAGGCAAAGGCAGCGATCGACTGATAAGAAAGCATCCAGCGAAACCCTTGGCAGAACACTGTGAGAGGCACAAACATTAACGAGGGAGAGGAGGGACCCTGTAATGTAAACCTGGGTTTCCTGAACCTTAGTGCCTGTGATATCGGCACTAGGTGTTACGTGACAAGCAGGCCACCGGTAGGCAATTACCGTTAGAAGGTTCCTGCCCTGGACTGAGGGGAGTCCTGGCGGAACAGAGAGAACCCTGGTATAGCAAAAGCTGCGTCTGGTGCCAACCACATCTCCTGTATGAGGAGAACATCTGTCTTGTGGAGCCAAAATGCCGCCAAGAGGAGATCTCATTTGGATTAGAGACCTCTAGCATTCCATTGCACTATGCAGAAGGTATTCTGGCCTCCAGAGAAGTTAGGCATTAGTAGGTAGGGTCGTCGACAGACTTCTATGAAATTTGACCTGTTCGGCTGGAGTTGTAGCACAGAGGTCATCTAAGGAGATCGCTCTGGATGAGCCGATAGGGTAGGATAGGTCCATATCTGATGGCGGCTTGTCCTTGTTGGACGTGGTTATGTGACCGCTGGACGATATTACAGTTCTTTTTTCTTTTTTTTGAAGGTGGACTGAGACCGATGGTCCTGCTGGGTGGGATGGGCGCTTATATGGCATGGGTGCCACCATCCTGTCTGTGCTCAGCTCATGTTCTGGCAGTTGGAACTCCTGGTCAGGAGTGGCTGGACAAGGCCAAAGTAGTTTGCAAAGATGACAAAGTGTGTATCACCTCAACTGTGGATTCTAACTGAGAGATCTGGTGTGACAAGGCTTCCAGCCTTGTCACACCAGATCTCTCAGTTAGAATCCAGTTAGAGTCCAGGTCATCAGTTGACCCTGGGAGCATGCAGGCAGTCTCACACTCTTGCTGAGGGGGATGGCGAGGGGCTGCCTCGTTGAGTTTTGGCTTGGATAGAGAAGTCACTCGGGCATATGATTTGAGTAGGCCACCTTGTGAGCACTTCGTGTCTAGGTAGAAACGGCATTGTATGATGCTCAGTTTTAACAAGCAAGCCTCTTGCTGGTAAGCTGGGCAGCGGAGGGAGTCTGCTTTATGGTCCCCACCACTGCAAACGCAGCTGCCAAATGTGGCAGTACAGTTGGTGGGATTGTTGTCTGCACCACATTTGATACACTTATGGCAGCCAAGGCATGACATGGCTGAGTGACCGAAGGAAAGACAGCAGCTGCACTGATGCAGATGGGGGATAAACTGTTTGCATCAAAATCGCTGGTAATAGAGGGTGACTGTCTCCAATGGGGCGGCGCTGACTACTAAGAAGTAAACAGTGGAACTAGGAACAACGGTTTCCCTGTCCTTCTACATAAATTGGCATATTTCTATCACCAGAATATTAGTGTCTGAAAGGATTGCATATATATGCTGGACAGCAATGGACGTGTCCACATTGCACAGGAGGTAAGTGGTTAGAGCACAGTCTGGCACCAAACAACCATGGACCAGGATCCTCACTAGGGCTGTGATGCAGAGGGCTGACTCCATAGACTGTGAGTCCTGGGATTTCACAATGAGAAGACCGGCACGGAAGTAGTGGACATCCTGCAGTTGGTCCAGATGGGGGAAGTGCAGTTGGAAGACCATGTAAAGTTTGGCTGGATGAAGATGGTGGAGGGGCCCTGTCCTTCCAAAAAGACCATGTAGACATGGTCTGAGGGAAGAGACTGGCGGATGGAGCACAATTTTTCCAATTCCATCAAGAGAGAAAGGAAACAAAGCTCATCAGAGAATGAGCATGCCACTGAACCCGGCGGCTATGGCCAACAATGTCCACGCAAAGGTGATGCCACCCCCAAGCTTAGAGGGACCTCCACACCAGAAGAAAAATCAAACAATACTCCTACCTGAGAAGTAAAGAAGCCAGTAAGGGAACCAAGAGAGAAGAAGCAGATGCAGTTATCCCTATGGGAGGGCAGGAAAAGGCAATAAAAACACCGCTGGAAGCCAAAGACCGGGATGAAGATCACCTAGGTAGACTCACAACTTGCCTGCACACCCAATCACAACTGTTCTCCGGAATTCATTTGTCTAAACACCTACTTGAATTTCATTTTCGAGTAGCCCATTTGACTGTTCATGGAGTACTTGATGTTATACAGTACTGGGGCTCTCCCCATCCAGGCACATTGGTCAAGACTCACTATTGCTTGTCTTGACAACATGGAGCACAGAGAAGAGGTATACTGATACATGTTAAAACTGACCTTTGGAGGCAAGTATCTTGCAAAAGGTTGCATGTACAGGTATAGTTCCTTTGACTTTACTGCTCATATAGGGGTCTACAATTTTTAGGGAGTACAAAACCCCTTATTTAGAGCTTGAATCTTATTGTTTAATTGACAGAACAATGAAATTCAAAGAACAAATTTAACTTGTGTTTAAATTCAAATGCACAAAAGTACAGTGGGTGATCGGTTAACGAACATAATCCGTTCCAAGACTTTGTTCGTTTACCGATTATCGATTTACCATAGGTTTCTATGGGAATTTAATTAATTCGTTCTGGAGACCCCCAAAAATAAAAAATATATACTTTCTTACTACGTTTATTTATATGTAATAATAAAAATACATATACACACAGTCTTGCATTTTTATTAGTCATTTTTTTTTTCCGTTTGAAATGGTTAAAGAATCTGTCTAATGTCGATTGCTTTTCCCTCTTCTTTAGGATTTTTCATAAGTAATTAATAGCATTGCAATTGTAGAAATCCTCAAGCCTCAACCTGGTTTAGATGCCATTCTAAGACCGTTGTTCTGACATCCTCCCACTTCAAACGATCTTTAATAACAGGTATCGGCATTAATCCTCTTTTTCAGAAGAAAACATACCTCGCCGAGATTCTTGGTGTTCTTCATTCAAGAGTTAGCGTTCTTCTATCGTCAGATCCGTTTCGGGTTCCATTATGAACTCTTCGATGTTCTTTATTTCTCAGATTTGATTTTTGTTACTCCTTTAGCTGCTTGAGTCTTCTGGATTATACAGTATTTTTCTTAAATAAGATTGAACTGCTGCCTACAATAGACCTGTTCATGCCATACTGCCCAGCAACATTAGGCATCTTCTGCCCACTCTCCACCTTTGCTATTATACTCTCACCTTTCGAAAAGAAAAACAGATGCAAAACTTAAATTAACGAGTGCCTACCCGACAGTCTAACGAATACATAAAAGAATTATTTTGTCAGAAAAATAAAAGGCTGGAATTACAAGGGAGAGTTTCAAAGTTCGGAGGAATACTATCCGATTGGTGTATACCGGCTTGAGCGTTGATGTCGATGTTTCCCACACTCTGAAAAGTTTCGAATTGTTTCCTGAAGACATGGGAAGACCAATCGGTATTCATTATTTTACATCGCTTCTTCTTGTGTTTGTTCTGTGAGGTGTTCGTTATCTGATCATGTGTTCATTGTCCGAACATAAAAATCTTTTGCTAAAGTGTTTGTTATCCGATTTGTTCGTTATTCGATCTGTTCGTTAACCGATCACCCACTGTAATTTGAAAACAGTTTCACATAAATATAAAATGAAGGCAATTTTTACATAAACTTGAAATAAAATAAAAAATACATACATTCATAAATTATAAATTACAGCAAATTTCCAGGCAGAAGAAAGTGTGCTTAAATCTCTGGCATTTAAGCATGATCCTAATGTTTTTTCTTAAATATCTCTACCTGTTCTGCCGTATGTGTCTTTGAACAAGAGGTGATCTTTCCTATAACCTTAGCCTGGTTTCATAAGATTTTGGCATCATCCTAGTTAGTGAAGCTTGTTATGGCTTTCTTGATAAGCCTGTTGTGTGCTGTACAGTATTTAATGTTTATAAATATGTTTTTCCAAATTCCAGCTAGTGTAACCTGTGCAAGTTGTTCTCAGTTTAGCAGGTATCATATACTGTATATCCCAACGTTTCACTTCTCTGGTACTGTACATAATCTTTATCATTTCCTAGGAATCTGTATAATGTTGGATTTTGTTTTTATACAGTTCTTGATTTTTTTTGTTTTGACCAATTCATTGAATATTTTATGCAAAGTTCAGAAAGTAAATTTAGTAAAACTCTTATTAGCTGTATTCTTTATTTCAGATTGATGTGAGTGGATAATGTTGATAAGCATTTTTCTGTAATAACCCAGGCAGGATGCTATGATCATGTTTCTGTTAATCTCCAATTCCCTATATCTGGTAGAGACAGTGTGTGTACCCTTTGGATCAAAGCCCTGAAGATGGAAAGTTTCTGGCAAAATGGATTGTGTAAATTGCTGGGATGTATAATGGATGGAAAGTCAGTTAGGGGTGTGTGTGTGTGTTGTGTCTAGGAAGCGTACGTTGATGGAGCTGCAGCTTTTTTGTTTGCTTTTCAGCAGGGCTGTGGAGTCGGGAAAAATGTGCCGACTCAGACACTTTAAATTTAATTTAGTTTTTTTATTTAATTAACCCAATTGAATTTGAATATTTTTGAATCATTCCTTTATTATCCCTGCTCTAAATAAGTACTCTATTTTACTGGATGAGCCAGACTAATTGATCAGATTATATATTTTTCTTTTCTGAACAAGGGGCTGGAGTAGCTAGATTGCACACCTTTTAGTTGGACTAACTTTTCTTGAAGGGTGAAATTGAAGTGCAAATGCTGTAGAATAAAGATATGTAGATGTAGAATTATATCTCCCCTTTCTCCTCTTATTAAATGTTTGTTAAAAATTAATTCTTTTTATACAAATAAATATTAATGTAAGTTGGATATTAAAAATACTAACTATAAAAGTATTTGAAATACAGGGCTCCTTTCAGAGTTCAGAGTAGGGTAACCCCTATGAATGCCTCTGCCCCCTATAAAATGATTTAGTATTTAATTTTGCTGGAGTCAGAGTTGAGTGTTTTTTTTTACTGACTCCACAGCCCTGCTTTTCAGATAAGGCAATATGTGTTGTTATTGATAGTGCTAAGTTTATTTCTACTATCCTTATTCCAAATAATTCCTTATTTAATATATTATCTACATAGCATTTATATAGGATAAAATTGTTGATAAAATTCAGTAATATAGATTTTTCTAACTTCACTACAATCAATTTGCACAAGATTCAAACTATAGACTGCTCATAGGTACTCTTCTTGTTTGTCTATAGGAGGTCTGTCTGGAAAGTTCATGAACTTTTTAAATTACGTCCCAACCAATAATTGAATCTGAATGCAGCTTGCACAGCTCTCTAGAGACAAGTTTTATGTACTATCTGTCAGAAACAGTTTGTTCTGTCTTCATTTGTTGTTGTTTTACATTCATTTATGTAAACACATGTTGATTGTGTTATATCATTTTCTTTCAGTGAGTGCAAGTGAGTGAAGAGCTAGTCTGATGAAAATTTCATGGAAAACATCATTACTGAGGATGAGACATAGGTTAATGGGTACAATGTGGAAACAAAACATAAGTCATCGGAGTGGGTGAGAACATCTTTACTGTGATCCAAAAATGCATGACAAGTTTGGCCGAATGTGAAGATCATGTGTGTCTTTCTCACTGTTTTGTTCAATTCTGAAGGTGTTGTTCACCATGAATACTATCTGGAAGTGATGAAATGTCTTAGTGAGGAAGAAAAGACCAACTGCTTGGAGAGAACAGTGTTATGACAATGCACTGCTGATAACAGAATTTTTGGCCAAGAACTCAACGCCACCTGTTCCCTAACTTTCATATTCATCAGATTAAGGCCCAGAATACTTACTTTTGTTTCCTAAATTAAGATCTGCTCTCTCTCAAAAGTTACTATTTTAAATCATTTGATGTCATTAAGGGATATTCATTAGATGAGTGTGCATCATCCCAAAAGAAGCATTTCAGGAAGCATTCTTTTCATGGCAGAAACACTGGATTTGGTATGTAGACTCAGGAGAGGCCTACTTTGAAGGCAACAAAACTGACTAGCTTCTAGGTAATAACAAAGGACTTCTATTTGCAAAGTTCATGAACTTTCCTGACAGATCTCATATATGTATATTCATCAAAGGTGAAGAAGGAAGAGTTGCACACAATATTTCATCTATGTCAGTGGTAAAGTTTGTGCTTTTTGGGATAGCACAGTAGAATTTAATAATTTAATTTTTAAATAATTGATGACATTTTTGATTATATGATTAAAAAATTTGTGTATTTGATTTAAAATTAGTCAAGAGGATAATTCTTTTGATATATGTTTTCAAATTAGACTGAAAGAAAAATTTTATACTCATAGATAATTAAATAAGATATTTTTTTAATAAAAATTCAATATTTAAAAAACCAATGGAATCATATAATCAGTCTTTACTTATTTGTACTATTAAGCAGTACACAGAAAAATAATTCTCCTATCCTTTCTGACTTATGGAGGCGAAAAAATCCAAAATCACTAATCCATTTACTCAAAACGGAATAAGGACTGGTATAAAAAAGCAAAAACAAAATTAGGATTGTCAGGATTGGATGGAATAGTATTCCTTGCATGTAGTATTCCTTGGGATAGGGTCCTACAAAGGAATACTATTCCTTTGTAGGACCCTATCCCAAACTTGCGTAATCTAATTTTTGACAGCTCCCCGACCCCCACAATGGTTCTCCAACAATGCGCATTCTTTTTGTCAATTGCAAATCTTTTACCGGTGGCACGATTTCCAATTTTTGAAGTGCACAATATAACTTTTCTTTTGAATTCATAATTATATGTAAAACATTTTTCCATTATTAATGAGTATAGGTAATAAAAAAATTTAAAATTTGATTCTACACAGCTGCTATCAAACAACTACTGGATTAAATCAGAAAATTGCGAACAGGGAACCACCGAATAAACTGCTATCAATGATTGTAATACTATGCGCATGCTTATAGCATAAAGCAAAGACCCAATTGTTGGGGAGTGAGAGATCAGCAGAAATAAGAAGTTAAAATATTTGCTTTGAATTTAAGTTGTACCCTAATTTTGTGTTAAAAATTGGAATAAAAAGTATTGCTTAAATTTGTAGTAATAAGGTATATTAAAAAAAATAAGAACTTTGTTGTGTGTGTATGTTTATATATNTCGACAGACTTCTATGAAATTTGACCTGTTCGGCTGGAGTTGTAGCACAGAGGTCATCTAAGGAGATCGCTCTGGATGAGCCGATAGGGTAGGATAGGTCCATATCTGATGGCGGCTTGTCCTTGTTGGACGTGGTTATGTGACCGCTGGACGATATTACAGTTCTTTTTTCTTTTTTTTGAAGGTGGACTGAGACCGATGGTCCTGCTGGGTGGGATGGGCGCTTATATGGCATGGGTGCCACCATCCTGTCTGTGCTCAGCTCATGTTCTGGCAGTTGGAACTCCTGGTCAGGAGTGGCTGGACAAGGCCAAAGTAGTTTGCAAAGATGACAAAGTGTGTATCACCTCAACTGTGGATTCTAACTGAGAGATCATAGTAAACTTAAAAAGAATAATAATAAAAATCACTAAAAGTTGATATATTGATATTTAAAAAATAGGCATTAATGTCAATGTGCATGTGATATTAAAAAATAATAAATAGAAACTAAATAATTTGGCAATATTTGATTAACTATGGTAATAATAATAATGAAATACATTTACTAAGACTGAATATAATACAGATTACATTGCTCATGATCATTTTGAATGTTTTTCTTTAATGTATTTTAGAAACATTCAAAATGATGATGACATAGATTTAGTATAGTCTTAAAAAATTATATACTGTATGCACTTAGGTAGACCCATATTTAAATTACCTTGTAGGCTTGAGTAAACCCACACTTCTGTTGTAAAAAAATAAACCCACAACTGGTAGTTAGTTGGTTTGCATCTCACCAGTTATGTTCCAGGTTTTCTTCACATATCTAAAACCTAAATAAAGGGCTGTCCATAAATGACATCCACACTGGGAGGGAGGGAGGGGGTTACAACAAGTCAGACAAGGGGAAAGGGTTGAGTTTCAATGGACATCCATTTATTTTATTACATTTTATACCTTTTATGCATTTTTTTATATTTATTTCAAAATTTCTTGTATGTTTCATTTCTACTTATGGTATCTATCATTCATAGAGTGATAAAGGTTTTAAGAGGGATCAAGTTTTGTTGGACTTCCAAAGAGGGGGGTTACGGAAACTGGGACAAGAGGGAGAGGGGAGTAAAAATTTATGGAAAGAAAACTGCAGACATAATTTATGGACAGCCCCTAAAGGTCCTTTTACCATAAAAAGCCCTCCTGGATACTCTTTCTTAGCAAATTTTCCAAGTGTTGCATTGCCTTCTTCTATCAATTAATTTTGTGATGCTCCTAAAATGTTGTTGCAGCGTCTTAGTGTGCCTTGGCACTCAGTTGAAAAGCATTGTACTATAGCATAACACCAAAATATTTCTAAAATATTCATTTAGAGTCTTGGAAGTCATATTTTGGCTATCTACTTTTGTTAGATGTACAATATGATGTAAAGGATTCCTGTTATACAAATGACCAGTTATTTATTGTGACATCGTCACAATGCTGGACTACAATTTTTAATCATATTTTTTATTTATTTAATTTAAAATATATGCTCTCAACCTGAAATTAGTAGTGGCTTGTCCCTGTACATCATGCTTTTCCTTTAACAATAGAGTTGTACCAATCATCTATCTAACACCTTTTGGGGGAAATTTTTGAATTGAAATAACATGACTTCCGGTTTGCATCAGAAGTTCGTATATAATTAATTGGGGGCTCCTGTCCCTAAGGTTTCCATATCTGGTCTCATCTTTCATTTATCTAACTTTGTTTTCAAGATTAAGGAAAGACAGACAGATGGATGACAATGGAAATTTATAGGTTTGCAGCCCATAATCAAAAAAGCAATTACAATGGCTGAGGTGTTCCTGAGAATACTGTTTTGTATAAAAATATCTAATGTAAAGAGGTTTAAATTGTTTGAATCTAACAAATAACTTACAATAACACTTCACAAATGTCCTGAGAACACATTATGAATATTATAATCAAGACATGTTCGAATGCTGTCTTTGCACTCTCATAAACCAAATACTAAATTCTTAATTTCATGTTGCAACCTCCTCTTAAACAATAACCATTAAGACAAGTTTTTTAAAGTGTATAAATAAATAAATAAAGTTTCTGACAAAATGCTTTGACAACTTTTGACATAAAAAGTTAATTAGTAGTACATATTACAGGATGGTATTGGAAGTAAAATAGCTAAGAAAATTGATGAATTTCTTGAAACAGGAAAACTCCGAAAACTAGAGAAGGTATTTCTATTAAACAAACTTATTTTTTAACATTTAATATTTAAAAAGGTTAAATTAAAATAAATGAATATTAAATATAACATCAAAAATAAAATAGTTAATCATCATTTTTTATATTTTACTTAATATTAATTATTTGATTATATAAAAGTTAAATTAAATCACAATTTTAAATTGTGACGTAAGCATGTTTTATGATTACATCAATTTAAAAATGGCATTCTTTAAAATTTCTATTATTTTTTCCAGAAATTGTAGAATAAAAAATTGATATGAGAGATTTTACTCTTTCTTTATTATATATATAGTAACTTAGTATATATTATTTATATCCACAATAAATTTAAAATTAAAAGAATTATAATTAAATTATAAGTTAAAACAGATAATAGATGAATTTGATTTTTGTTTCTTATTGATTAGTTTGTGTCATTGATTTCAATTTTCAGTTACTTAAATAATTTTTCCTTTCTTCAATATAAATTTGTTTTATTTAATCTTTGATAGAAGATATAGGCAATTAAATTATTATAATTTGAGAATACACAAAAAAATATATTATTAGTTAGATATTTCTAAAAAGCCATTAAAACTTTTTATGTTCCTGTTTAAATTTATTTAAAACCTTGTCAGTTGTGTAATACATAAAATTTATTGTGATATTGTGTAAAATACTATTTTTTATGAATTTGCTTCAAAAATCATGTTAACCGATTTTAATTCTAAACTTTAAATTTCCAGATACGTGCAAATGATGATAACAAGGCAATTGCTGAATTAACTAAAGTATCAGGAATTGGGTAATATACAAAATTTATTAAAGTAAAAATATATTGTAGCTATTTAATTATATGTATAGTGCTGTTTATAGTTATCAAAATTTATATTCCAGACCATCAGCAGCAAAGAAATTTGTTGATGAAGGAATAAGAAACATTGACGGTAAAAAATTAACAATGATAAATTTAATCATATAATTCTAATAACAAACAAGAGACCACCTTCCTCACTTTTTCCAGAAGACTTTTTTTTACGACACAAACATATTTGGCCTCTTTTAGCAGCTTGTTTCAGGTTATTGAACAAAAAACTATAAGACAAAAATTTCAGCATTCCAAATTATAATGTTCTAAGTTAAAACATTGTTCAAAACTACAGAACATTTTATTTTTAACTGATGTCTTTTAAAAATTAAATTGCAATTACAACACAAATAAATAAAACATCTTTAAAAATTGTACATATAAATTAAACAGGAAATTTCATATAATTTCCTTATATTGATAGAATAAAATGAATATGATACCACATGTAGCAATGGTTAAACCATTTGCAATTTATATAGCTTCAAATGATGTTTTAACTTAGGCCATTATAATTTGAAATGCTCAATTGTTTTGTCTTTTAGTTTTTTTTGTATGGTAACATGAAGCAGGCTGCTAAAGGAGGCCATAAACATTTGTGATGTAATAAAAATTTGCAGGTAAAAGTAAGGAACGTAGTCTCTTGTTTGTTAGTGGAACAGTTCCAGCTTTTGAAGGAGTCTGTACTTTCTAATAATTTTTTTTCTTATTTAGATTTAAGAAAAAATGAACATAAATTAAATAAGCACCAGAAAATTGGGCTAAAGTAAGTTGTAAGAAAATAATCTTTTAGTATTTTTTACTAAATACTTGTAATTAAAGAATTAGTATTATATTTATAATAGCTTTCAGTTGGCCTGATAATTTTATTTTAGATACCTTGAAGAATTTCAACAATCCATTCCACGAGCCGAAATGGAGAAGATGGAGGTATTTATGACTGATAATTGAAATTATTATAATTTAAATAGGTATACATATTTAAAATTTAACATTAATTTTAGAAAAAAGTTAAAAAGGAGATAATGCGGTTAGATGATAAATATGTTGTAACAGTCTGTGGAAGTTATCGTAGAGGTAATATACAAATTTTATTCATAAGATAATTAAGTTTTGTAAATTTTCAATTAAAAATACTTTTACTTTATTTATAGGAGCACCTAAAAGTGGAGATGTAGATGTTTTATTGACCCACACAGATTTTACTTCAAAATCAAAACAAGAAGTAAATATTTGGTATCATTATATAAATTTCACATAAATACAGGTGTGCCTTATACAATACAGTTTTGCTCTAACACTGTTTGAAAATCCTCGGTACAAAATTTTATCATTTTTAAGTGTAAACTTTGTTATTCGATATTTTTTTTTATTTGAGTAAGCACGCTTGTTGTCTCAACTTGCCCACAGATTTTAAAATATTGAAATTTTCAAATTATTTTGTGCTTTTTGTCAGGTTTACTTTATCCCTTAAGACTGTCACTGTGTTTTCTTTTTATAGATTAATCTTTGTATTTAGTAAAGTTTATTTAAACATTTTTAGGTAAGTGTTATTAAATTTTTTACCTCTGAATAATTACTTCATTCGTAAAAATAACAAACAAAATACAACAGTATTTCAGTACTTGAACAATTCGGTATTCAAACACAAATTCTGGAAAAAGTCACTTGGTACTCGATCGAGCAAACACAATCCTTTAGAACAAATTTTCGATTAATATATTTTTATTTTGTCATCCATAAAAATTTTTTTATGATAAAAATAAAAAATATAAAAATGTTGCTGAAACTTCTGATCAAGATCAACAAAATGCTGAAATGACGACAATACATCTGTAAAAGTAAATTCTCTCGTTTAACTAAAATTAATATTAACGTGTAATATAGTACTTTTAATTCTGATTTTTAGTTAATTATTGATTGGAAATAAATTATCAATTGCTTTAAATAAACATATTTCTTTTAGTAACGAAAAAGAATAGTATACTTTTGTTAATTTCTGGAACATAACCCTGTGCTTTATATTAGTCCTTTGTTTCGTATAGCACATATTCACATAACATTAAACTTTTTTAGAACATAACTACTGTACTGTGTTATATGAGGGATACCTGTATATTGATATTTATATTAGATATTTTAAATATTCTTAATAAATATTATTATTTAAAGAATAATTATCTGAAAGCAGTTACTGATAGATTAGAAGAATACAAGTTTATTACAGATATTATACATCAAGGAAAAACTAAAAGTACTGTAAGTATAAATAAATAGCTTGTTATTTTATAGCTTATTGCTAAAATTTACTAAACTATTAGTTTTTGTTTACTAATTTTTTTTAGGCTGTGTGTCAGTTAAAAAGTAAAGATGAAAATCAGCTTCACAGAAGAATTGATATCAGGTTTATTGATTTCTAGTTTAATAATAAGTTTGTCTAAATTTTGTTAATAATTTAAATAAAACTCCATTATCTTCACAATTGTAAAAAAAATAGTAAAGATGGGAAATGTTGAATAATTAGTTTAGCATTAAAAAATCAAACCCCTAAAATTTTTTAATAATAATAATAAAGTTAACAAATAATTATAAACCATAAATATAAATAATATTTCATTGTCATCTCAAATTTATTAATGAACTTATTAATGACTGTTTTGATATAGTAATATAAAATAAAATGCTATTTTAAATACTGTAACAGAATTTTCTGTAAATTGTTAGAATTTTTAGATCTGAAATCATCATTGAAGTATTTATTTTGATTTATTTTACTGATTTTGGATATTGAAAATTTTATTTTTAAAATAACAAAAAATTTTATTAACTAATCAATCTACCATCTGAAATTAACAACAAAAAAAAAATGTTTCAGTATTAATTTCTATACAGCAAGAAATAAAGCTAATTTTTAAAGATTTAAGAACATAAATCATTATTCACAAGTCTCATTTCCTAAGTAACAATTTATCACTTATACAGTAGAGCGTCGTTTATCCGAATCAATTGGGGACTGGGGTTGTTCGGAAAATCGATATTTCGGATAACCGNAAAAATATATTTATTTCAGACGATTACCATTTTTACAGAGTGTTCTAGAACAAAGTACAGACAGCTGGACCTTCCTTTTTAGGCTACACAACTGCCTATATTTAAAAAGTTCGACGTCTTGTTGCTTCATCTTTATCCATTGGGTTTCTGGCTCTTTATCTACTGTGGATTAGCGCTGACAAATGTAGATTATGCCGATATCCCTCTGGTGTCGAATTTTAACGATATATTTGAATTTCCGTCAGATGAATAAATTATTTTTTACAAATTAAAAGACAAAGTTGTTCTAAAAATATATTTATTTCAGACGATTACCATTTTTACAGAGTGTTCTAGAACAAAGTACAGACAGCTGGACCTTCCTTTTTAGGCTACACAACTGCCTATATTTAAAAAGTTCGACGTCTTGTTGCTTCATCTTTATCCATTGGGTTTCTGGCTCTTTATCTACTGTGGATTAGCGCTGACAAATGTAGATTATGCCGATATCCCTCTGGTGTCGAATTTTAACGATATATTTGAATTTCCGTCAGATGAATAAATTATTTTTTACAAATTAAAAGACAAAGTCGTTCTAAAAATATATTTTTTTCAGACGATTACCATTTTTACAGTGTGTTCTAGAAAAAAGTACAGACAGCTGGACCTTCCTTTTTAGGCTACACAGAAGTTAGGCTATACTTCAGAAGTTAATTTAGTATCAAAAACGTAAAATATTTCAGTAGCCCAAGACATAGCCAAAGATTGCAGTGCCACAGCACTGGCAAAAATTTAAACTTGCCGACTGGAATTCTTTCGGATAAATGACGCTCTACTGTATATATTTTTAGTTAATCAAATCCAAATAGATATTCTTTGTGTGTATAGTATATTTAAAACTTACCTGAAATAATCTCTTTTATAAGGTTATAATATTTGCCATTCTTTCTTGAATTAAAAAAACAAGATTATATGTGGTTAATTAAGAATTTTGTGACACTAAAAAGCCTTGAAAGCATACCTAACTGTAGGTACTGAAAGTGTATCTGCATTTCTCTTTTTTTCTTTTTCTCTATCTTTTAAGTATGGATGCTTATTTGAAAATAATAATAAAAATTTGAAAATTATTTGGAAGAGACATTCTCTTTTCTTTTCCATTCTCGTGAAGTTTGAAGATTAAAGAAAATCTATTTAATTGAATTTGTTTTCTTATAAAACAGTATTATTTTATGAAATAAAATTTTTGCAGGTTTATTCCTCATGATCAGTATTATTGTGGAGTGCTATATTTTACTGGAAGTGACTTGTTCAATCAGGATATGCGTGCAAAAGCTCTTGCAGAAGGCTTTACATTAAATGAATATACAATAAGACCTGTTGGTTCCACAGGTAATTAAAAAAAATTATTTTTAAATATGCTTATAATATTTTATAATCTTTAATTTCTACACTAGGTGTTCCTGGTGAACCATTACCTGTTACTTGTGAGAGAGATATTTTTGAATATATAAATTATCCTTACAAGAAACCAGAAGAAAGAAACAGTTAAAATTTGATTTTTGAAACTTTATTTATCAAAATTGTGTTTGTTTACAAATTTTGTAATTGATTTTTTTAAAATAAGTCTTTATGTACAATTTAATTTATATAAATGATTAAATCATTGATATACAGTACGGTTGTGATTTATGCAATCTTAGTGTTTTCAAAAGTAAATGATCTTTTTAATAGAAAATTTTGATAATTCTCATTGCACAAAAAAAACAAGGAAATAATTGACTAACTTTTCATATAGGCATAAAATCTTAGCAGTTAATTTTATTACTCAAAATTCACACTTTACATTTGCAGTTGATTTATTTCTAAAGTAGTAAAATACAATTTTAACTTTATATGAGGGAAAAAATTTTCTTTTTAAACATGTAAATTTTAGTTACAAATTCCATTTTTATTTTATATTTTATTGATAACTAACATATTTACAGAAAATATGCTTAAAAATTATGTTTATGACTAAAATTTATAAATGTGTTTCTTCTCAGTATAATTCATTTCAGTTTGCATGAATCTCTACACACACACTCCAAAAATATAATCTCTGTATAAATCATGATTGCACTGTAATTGTTATTAAATTTAAAATTTGTATATATGTTTTTTTAAATATTTTTTATACCATTTTCTTGTATATTTTACATAAATCATGATTAAAAGCAATAAATAATATCTAAAACACTATTAGTTTCAACAGATTGTACTAAACAGATCTTGCAAACTATTGAAAATTTGAGTGTGTAATCTAAAATATCAATAGTTAGAACTCTTTAAATACTTATATATATTACTAGAATTTTGTTTGGAGTCATATAGAACTTGAATGCCATATTTAAGTTAAAAAGAATGTAAACATGATATTGCATATTTGATAGTATTTATAATGTTACTATATGATTTAAAACAACAATGAAAGGATAATTTTTTTAAGATTTTTAAATAAGTATTATTTATTATTTTAATCTGAAAATAATTAATATACTTTTAAATTTATATATATGTATATATATTAAAAAATAAATATATTATTATTCAGTACCATTGTTAACAGCAGAGCACAAACTAATAGCTTTACTGCCTTGGTCATCTGGAACTTGAAACATTTTAAGAGTATATTAAGCTTAACTCTAGAAGATCCAATTGCCCATCAATTCATTAGGAAAATAATAAAATAGAAATAAGCAGTCTTGGACTGCTTACAACTACTATCATATATAGCAAGGGTCACCAAACTTTGTTTACAGTGGGCTAGATGATAAAGAATGATGAGCGTGATAACCATTTTGTTCAATACAACACACTGAATACACAAAAGATAAAGACAACCAACATATTTATTTACCAATACACAAACACGATCACTACAGCAAGCTCGTAATTACTTTTCTGAGAAACTTCATTGCAGGTACACAAAAAGTGCACTGATATCCAAAGTCGCAAAAAGCCAAAAATTATATTACTGTCAGATGCAAAAATCAGAAAGTAAGTAAAAATGCCAAAATTGGTCTTATGTAGAAAAAATAAGTGTAAGTTCATCTACAATCTCTGATATTACCATATAAATTATATTTTAGCTCATTTGTGGCACAGTGCACCGGATGAACTGACCTTGCAGGCCAGATCCAGCTTGCGATGTCAGCACCCGGCCTGTAGTTTGGTGACCCAATATATAGCATAGTAGGATTTCACTAATGTTTGCTTATTTCAAGATTTGTAAATTCAAATTTGAAAACATTGGATCTTCTTTCCAAAATGTTCTAGGATTGAACAAGAAATTGTTTTATTAATTAGAATTATGTAATGTAAATGAAAGGTACACAGAACAAAAATGAACTTTATAAATGTAACATGCAAGAATTGCCTCCTCGATCTCTCCCTGTGGGCCTTGGAAGAGCAATTTCCCTTCCAAGATTTGCTTTATTCAAAAAATGAGAAAGCAATGTCATTTTTGTGGAAGTAAATTTGTTGTTAATAGTTTGCTTTCTCTGTGTTAAATTGTTACAGTGAGTAATTACAATGTGCATGCAATGTGTTGGTTCCTCTAGTTCTCCTTTAAGCTGTAAGCAGGCACTGCACTATTTTTGCATATTGTATAGGGTAGTTGGAGCTTTTGCTTTCATAAAGAAAGTAGAAGATTAAAGAAGTTTGTTTCTAGTTTTACTAAGAGTGTGATTTTAATAAATTAGTTAGTTTACAAAAATGGTACATTTTTGTTCCAAGACAGACGAAATCCTGTATTCATTCATAGTAATTTCTGTATAAAAAATAAAATTAATTAATTTACTATATAACTATTATAAATTTACTTTATAAAATTCTGAAGTTAAAATAAAATGATATAATGAATGTTGTATATGTGTATGAGTCTTCGTACCATATATTTTAAATCACATATATGAATGATGTATATTTCAGAGCATAGGTATTAGTCTATGTTCTGAAATATGTGTTTTATTTTTATGTTATATTTTTTTTTATTTTATTTGTTAACTTTATCTTATTATTTATTTAATTCATTGAAATTTTAAATCTGAATTTAAAATATTAAGTTAAATGTAAATCTCAAAATATACATATACATGAGTTCAGTCTTCCAAAAGTGAGATAGATGGCCAAGGCAGATAAGGCTGATTCCTTAATTGCCTTGGCCATCTGTCTACTCTGCAGGACCTCCCTTGGAAGTTTTCATGACAGTCATAGATATATGCCTAGACCCATCCCTTACCACGTAGCTGCTGCCCCATTATAGGCCTGGCCAAACTCTCAATGGGTATAGAAAAACCTCATAGTGTCCACAGTGCAAAAAGAGTTAAAAGAAAAAAAAATGACAAATAACAATCACATTTTCCGTAGCTTGTTTGATCTAATCATTTCAAAACTGTTTCAGATCTATTTTCATTCATTTATTTCTAAAGCTGGTATTAAAATAAACTGAAGTATTGTAGTTTCTTTAGTGTCTTACTATTATTTTGTATTTAACATAGTACCACAAAAATAATGATGTGTATCAAAATATTTATATTAATTATTATTGATTCAACTACTCAAAACTGGATATACATTAAGACGCTGCACATTCTTGCTGGATATTGGTTATACGTGTCTATTAATTATTCTTGAATTTGATATATTTGGGGGATTTAAATTATAGTATAATTATTTTAAATATAACAAATTTTTAAAGAAAAAATAAAAATTTAAATATTACAAAATGTTTTCTATATTTTATGTACCATTTGATATGCTTTGTATGAAAAGATAATTAAGCTATAATTAAAGTTGAATTTAATACTACAAAGATTTTGTACTGTAATTTCATGTATATTAGGAAAACATTTTTAAAGAAATATATTAATGAAAATGATAATTTATTAAGAGAAAAATATGAGCCATTGATTTTAAAAGCTATTTTATGCTATTGCTAGATATTTAATGGCTTGCATTTGAATAAGTTTAAAAATATTCTTAAGCAGTAATGGACTTATTTTTTTGTGTGTGTGTTATTTCATGTAAATTTAATATGCAATAATGGTTATCTGTGTTAGGTGAAGAAATCATGATTTTGGTATGCGTCAATGGACTTTCCTCACTTTCAAAAGCAATGATTTGTTGAAAACGTCGATTTTCTTTAAATGAAATGTAATTAAAATATTTAATTTTTCGTTATTATATTCATTTACATATTTATTTTATTTCAACATTTCATACTTCTTTCTAAAAGCTACAATAAAACAAAAAATAAATTTATTTTTATAGGATAAAATAAGAAAAAAATATTCAGTAATAAGTTGCATGCATATAATTATATTTCTTAGTTTAGATGATGAAAATTTTTAAAGTATTGATGATGAATGGGTAGTACATAAAGATATGATGGATTTATTTCCCTATATTTTTCTTTAGAGTGAACTTTCCTCACTTTCAAAATCAACAGTTCATATAATAATAAAACTATTATAATTAGGTCCATGAAAAACCATAAAAATATTTTTATAAAAGACTGCATTAATGTGTCTTATTCTTGTGACTATTTTTTTAGAAAGATCATACTTATCAATAAATTATTTGGTATATATTAGGAGCAAGAAAATTACTGCTTCTGGAATGTTTAAATTATTATATTAAAATATATAATTCTAGATATTAATTTAACAATTATTATAATATTCTGCTTGCTTTACAAATAAAGCTTGTTAAACTACAGTAGAATCCTGATTATCTGGATGCTACCTCAGATAACTTTCGAAAACTCAGTTAAAATGGATGACCATGGCCAATCTGATTAAAAATTATAAATACAGTAGAACCTCGAAAACTCGGCTCTCAATAACCCGCACTCCGGATAACTCGACCACACCCTGGCAGGGCAAAAAAATCCTTAGTTAATTAATTTTCATTATAGACAGCTTTATAAAAGTATAAAAGCTCTCATAAAGTATTTTTCTGAGGTCTGTCTTATCAGGTAAATTACTGTACACAGTGTATTCATTAATTTTCATTTTCATGTAGTAAAGGCTCTATGCCTTCATAAAGGACGTACTTTTCCTTTGTTTAAGGGTATTTGGGCAGTTTATTCTCTGTTATATTCTCAAGTAAACAATACATACAAGTACAGTACAGTATTTTCTGAGGAAACACTCGTACTTATTTTTTTTTAACCCCATTCCCGATAACCCGGCATTTTTACAAACTCGGCCACCCTTCGGTCCACATTAGGCCGAGTTTTCGAGGTTCTACTGTATAAGAGACTTATATAGTATATTACTTTTAAGTCTCTTTTTATAGCTTAATGAATTTAATCTTAACAATAATTTTTACATCATTATACAGCTAATATGTACTATTGTTCTAAGTTTAAAAATGTGTATTAGTGTAGTTACATTTTAATGTGAATTTGTCTCATTGAAGTTATACCATAAAATGTAAGAGAAATATATCATCTTATAATATGTAACCATTTTTCACTTTCTTCTATGAATTACAGTATAAGAAAAGTAGTGTAAAGGTGGTAAAAGTAATTCATCTACAGGTTTGTGTTGAATAATGTGGAACCTCAAATACATCAGGTTGTACTATATTTTTATCTCTGATTTAGTTAAAAATCTTTTGCATTCTTTAAAGTTGATGATTTTTTTTTAAATTATCAGACTTATATGTCATTTTTTATTTTAACTGATCCACTGATCACTTTTCACACAACTTTTCTACCACTCAGATCTATGTTTGATACTGAAAAGTCTCAAGTTTACCACCAGTATAGAAATGTGAATAAATTTTGTGCCAAGCCATATTTTTATTGCCATAAATTTGAGTGAAACACTTAGATGATTTAAAAATGTGCTAATTTATAACAATATAATGTGTAAGCCGTAAAAATCTATTAATTAAACTTATTCGAAAAAAAAAATTGCAAAACTGTCAAGTGTGTTATGTTTAATTTGAATACCAGATTGAACATGATTAGTTGTTCATTAAATTATTGATCAAATCTTAAACTTCTCATTTACCTTCTTCCCGGGATTAAAAAATTAATTTTCAACTTGAATGGGGGGGTCATGTATCGCCAGTAAGATCGGACTTAATGATTTTACTCGTAAGCATTTACAATTTTTTATAAAACTCGTCCCTACTCTCAAAATTAAGCTTTTTTACCATTTTATAATTAATTAAAAATTTCAAAATATTTTTAACTAAAATTTAAAATTTTGGTGATGCCATCTTTTATATGTTGCCAGGAAAGTTAAGCAACTCGTTGCTGATTTATAAATTTTATTTTGTCTTGATTTTTTGTATTATCTACAGAAATTTTTCTTCAGCAATTATTATTATAGGTTTCTTAATTTTGTTGTTGCTGTATGTTCTCCAAAGTTCCATTAGAGTTTACATTGGCAAGGTGAGATGTGCTTCAGATTCTGTTAAATTCATATATCCTCTTCATATCAAATATTAACAGACTTATTTGCTACTGCACATCACAGCAGTCTGACCATGATTTATAAGATGTACTGTAATATATTATTGAAGAAATATTACAGCCATGCCAGAGTGCATTACATAAAATCAAACTAAAATTTTTAATTAAAAATTTATTTACATATATCATTAAAATGGAAATAGTGAAAATGTTTCATAGTAGTATGAAAATTTTTTTTATATTATAAAAAAAATATTTTGTAAGTAAATATATGAAAATAATACATTATTTGTATTATGATCTGTCATTAGAATTTTTCATAACAAAGCTGATTAAACTGATAAAAAGTTTGTAAAAATATTTCTTTACAGTTTAGGAAAACTTAAATAAACTATTTACTTAATTTTTTCTGGAAAATAAACTTTCCTAGTGAGCATAGAAGTTATACAAGGCACTTGTTTTTTCTTGTCCATGCTATAATCATTTGGTACACATGACTCAAAATCATAACATACTATCCGGCTTACAATTGTCATCATGCTTAATAAGTCCATCTTTCTTCCATGCTCCTCTAACACTCTGGAGAGAGCCTGTATGAACCATGACCCTTGAGAAGTATTCCTCCAGGAGTAAAATCCTAAAAGAAGAAAATGCATTATTTCATAGAAGTTAATAACCATTCATAAAAACATTGTGCTATAATAAGGCTACTATTTAATAATTAAAAATATCAAGAAATCTGATCTAAAGTTATCAGGTAATTTGATAATGACAAATGCATGAAAGTATTTTAAACTCAGCATCAATACTGTAATTAATAAATCTTGAAATGAAAAGTTGCTTAAAACAGTTCTGCATGCAAAACACTAGCAACTTAGGCTGCATTCACACTGCTGATGACAATGACCACAGATCTGAAATGATGAACAGCAGCTTGTCTTTCATTGTATTCATTCATCGCCAAAGCATTCATAGTACTCATTAATTTTTGAGTTAGAGCTGGGGTTCCCAACTTGTGTTCTGCCAATAAAATTTGGGGTTCCACAATAAAATCTGTTGAGTCTAATGATGTATGAATATGCCAATGCAGATTTGGGATGTGAGGTTGTAATTGTTCTAATCTTAGATTGAGCCACTTATGATGTCTTATACACATGCTGTATAAACAATGGGAAGCAATTTATCAGTAACTGAATGAACCTAAAGATAAGTTTTATCATATTTAAGGTTTTCATTAACTTAAACTTAAAAATATATCCAACTTTAAATAATAATACAATCGCTAAATATGCTTTAATTCGTTAATATCTGCAGCAGAAGCCTATTGAATCTAATGATGGGAGTGGCCAGTCAGATGCCCGATTAGGGTTTCTCATTTCCCGGTCTTTTGCTTGTCCCGGGATTCAGGGATAAAANATTTAAGAGATTCTTCTGGTTTATCTTGATTATTTACATCTAATAGTTTTCCTACCAGTTTTTTTCTATTTCTTTTCAATAAACGATTATTTATTTGATTTGTCTGATTAATATTTTCAATTTCTGTATTTTTCCTAAATTTACTGTCGGTAGCGAAGATTTCTTTAGTTTAGGTTTTGCCAATAAACTTAATACAGTATTTCAACGAGATGTTCGAAACAGTTATAGAAAATTTTAATTTCTTTTCTCATAATCGTTCGAACCTGGAACCAATACAAAAAACGTTCCAGAGAATTCAAAATACTTGACGATGGTCTGTAGATCAGATTGAAAACATCTGTAAAACAATAAATATTGATTCTCAGAGACATAAGGTGTGTGTGTCTCAGTATTTAAAAAATCTGAGTATATATTGAAAGGTATTTAGATTTAAATTACAACTATTAATATCTTATATTAAATGTAACATTTTATTTATATTGAGATTCTCATTTCTAAAAAACAAAAGTACAGGTAACCCCGTATAACACGGTGCTTTTATAGCACGGGTTCACTCTAACACGGTTCGAGAATTGAGTAAAACCCTCGTACAACATAAAATGTAATAAAGGGTGCGTTCTTTTATACCTCCGCGTAACTCCGCGCGAGCATTCTAATTGTTTTCGTGGCTACTTTGAATGCTCTTTCAACAAATAATCCATTTAATGATTAAATTTTACAATTGTGACTCTTCTTTTGCCTCTAAAAGCTCATTTTAGAATTACAGATTCTTCCATCATGATACTATCGATAGTATGGGCGCCGCCATCTTTCTTTCACCGTCGTTCCTAAATGCCTACAAACAGCAGCGCACTCCCGTTGCAGAGCGACCGCTATTAACGAACGCACCCGCAAACTGATGATGCTCATGCTGAAATCATCATATAAAATGAATAATCCTCTGGTAAAATATTTACTTAAATAATAAATACGTATTTTATCTATGAAAAAAATGAATAATATATCCGATTTAAATAAGGATTTAACAACACGTTTTTTTAACTTTTGGAACCTAAACCCCCTTTTCGCACTAGTTCGTTGTTTCGTATAACACGGATTCGCATAACAGGGTAATTTTTTGGACCGTAACTCCCGTGTCATACGGGGGTTGCCTGTACACCCCGTATAACATAGGGATTATACACCTGTATTCCCCGTATAACAAGGGGAAAATAAATTCAAATTATACGGAGAAATTAACCCCGTATAATTAGAATTTGAATTTATTTTGACTTCAGGTTAATTTGGATCGACGAGAAGTGATTTGGATCGACAAATGGGCTCGTCCGTATGTTTATCCATACGGACGAGCCCAGTTGTAACTGTAAACTTGATCATGTCTATATCATCTGTTTGCTGTTATCACTAATAAAATTTTGATCTAAATTATTTTAATACATCGTCTAGGTAGCCCATACGACATTAATATTTCACCGCACTTTTCTACTACCACAATAGNTCGAGGTTCTACTGTATAAGAGACTTATATAGTATATTACTTTTAAGTCTCTTTTTATAGCTTAATGAATTTAATCTTAACAATAATTTTTACATCATTATACAGCTAATATGTACTATTGTTCTAAGTTTAAAAATGTGTATTAGTGTAGTTACATTTTAATGTGAATTTGTCTCATTGAAGTTATACCATAAAATGTAAGAGAAATATATCATCTTATAATATGTAACCATTTTTCACTTTCTTCTATGAATTACAGTATAAGAAAAGTAGTGTAAAGGTGGTAAAAGTAATTCATCTACAGGTTTGTGTTGAATAATGTGGAACCTCAAATACATCAGGTTGTACTATATTTTTATCTCTGATTTAGTTAAAAATCTTTTGCATTCTTTAAAGTTGATGATTTTTTTTTAAATTATCAGACTTATATGTCATTTTTTATTTTAACTGATCCACTGATCACTTTTCACACAACTTTTCTACCACTCAGATCCATGTTTGATACTGAAAAGTCTTTCAAGTTTACCACCAGTATAGAAATGTGAATAAATTTTGTGCCAAGCCATATTTTTATTGCCATAAATTTGAGTGAAACACTTAGATGATTTAAAAATGTGCTAATTTATAACAATATAATGTGTAAGCCGTAAAAATCTATTAATTAAACTTATTCGAAAAAAAAAATTGCAAAACTGTCAAGTGTGTTATGTTTAATTTGAATACCAGATTGAACATGATTAGTTGTTCATTAAATTATTGATCAAATCTTAAACTTCTCATTTACCTTCTTCCCGGGATTAAAAAATTAATTTTCAACTTGAATGGGGGGGTCATGTATCGCCAGTAAGATCGGACTTAATGATTTTACTCGTAAGCATTTACAATTTTTTATAAAACTCGTCCCTACTCTCAAAATTAAGCTTTTTTACCACTTCACAATAGTTAAAAATATAAAAAGTTTTTAATAAAATATCATAACGGATGAAGCCACCAAATGTTGCCGGGAAAATTAAGTAACTCGTTGCTGGATTTTTAAAATTAAATTTAGTCATTTTTAGACACGTTTTTCTCGCATTCTTAAAAACTCTCCTTGTTTAGGCGATGAGTATATGGTCACTTCATATGTGTAACACAATGATGATAATTATATAGCCTATATACCTATCTACACGTAGAAAAGCTACAGGCGGCTACGTATTCTTCGACTCCATTAAAAACTATGGATCTCTGTCGTGATGTTATTGGGTCCATCGTTAAGTCACACATACCTCCTCTATATATAATCAAAGTTCGATAGAGCACCATTGTTCTCCTCTGTGATTGGCACTTAACCGAAAAATCTCAGAGAAAAGAATTACACACAGTAATGAATTCTGAATTCGAATTACGGGTGGCCCTCATTACACAAAATACTAATAACTTTAATACCGCGAATTTCGAAGCGATAATTTGTTTATTTAATGGAAAATTTCGCGAAAGTTTTCCAAGTAATGTATTATAATTTCTCCATTAATTTTTCAAATATTTATTGCATTGTAAATTCTTTCTTTCCACTTTTAGTGGGCGATTGGTTGTAGATAAGGAGGAGCATGGATTAAATAATAGCGTTATGGTTCCTCCAACAAAGNTCTGGAAAATAAACTTTCCTAGTGAGCATAGAAGTTATACAAGGCACTTGTTTTTTCTTGTCCATGCTATAATCATTTGGTACACATGACTCAAAATCATAACATACTATCCGGCTTACAATTGTCATCATGCTTAATAAGTCCATCTTTCTTCCATGCTCCTCTAACACTCTGGAGAGAGCCTGTATGAACCATGACCCTTGAGAAGTATTCCTCCAGGAGTAAAATCCTAAAAGAAGAAAATGCATTATTTCATAGAAGTTAATAACCATTCATAAAAACATTGTGCTATAATAAGGCTACTATTTAATAATTAAAAATATCAAGAAATCTGATCTAAAGTTATCAGGTAATTTGATAATGACAAATGCATGAAAGTATTTTAAACTCAGCATCAATACTGTAATTAATAAATCTTGAAATGAAAAGTTGCTTAAAACAGTTCTGCATGCAAAACACTAGCAACTTAGGCTGCATTCACACTGCTGATGACAATGACCACAGATCTGAAATGATGAACAGCAGCTTGTCTTTCATTGTATTCATTCATCGCCAAAGCATTCATAGTACTCATTAATTTTTGAGTTAGAGCTGGGGTTCCCAACTTGTGTTCTGCCAATAAAATTTGGGGTTCCACAATAAAATCTGTTGAGTCTAATGATGTATGAATATGCCAATGCAGATTTGGGATGTGAGGTTGTAATTGTTCTAATCTTAGATTGAGCCACTTATGATGTCTTATACACATGCTGTATAAACAATGGGAAGCAATTTATCAGTAACTGAATGAACCTAAAGATAAGTTTTATCATATTTAAGGTTTTCATTAACTTAAACTTAAAAATATATCCAACTTTAAATAATAATACAATCGCTAAATATGCTTTAATTCGTTAATATCTGCAGCAGAAGCCTATTGAATCTAATGATGGGAGTGGCCAGTCAGATGCCCGATTAGGGTTTCTCATTTCCCGGTCTTTTGCTTGTCCCGGGATTCAGGGATAAAAGTGAACTGTTTCCCGGGAAATCCTGGGACAGAATTAATTATTTTTAAGATATAATTATTTTTCATTTTTTGAAGCAATTTAATACATT